GCAATGGGAGCACACATTTATCAAACAAGCCAGAATGCCAGCAAAAGGGTTTGAATTGAAGCATTTCTTTCATCCCTGGCCCCTTCATAGGGTACCAGTGTCTAGGAGATTTATTAGTTAGGGTTTTAAGTTGGTCTTTATTCAGTGAAAGAGGAGCAGGAGAGCTCTCGGCAGGCAACACAAGAATCTGCAGCAGGGCGAACAAGAACAACAGCAGAAAAGGGGGGAGGATACAGGGTGGGGTAGAGGCCGAGGCCAACCTGGAGGGTCCCTTGTGTCCTGAACGGCCTTGCGTGTCAGGTCTTCTCCTCATGACCTCGTCATGGGTGGGATGTCCCACAACGGCTCCCGGCACATATGGTATGTTGTTGCTCAGTCGCTCAGTCGTGTCCAACCCTGCAACCTCTGCAGCACGCTAGGCTTCCCTATCCTTCACCCATCTCCCAGAGTTTGCTCACTCATGTCCATTGAGTTGGTGATGCCATCCAACCATCCCATCATCTGTCGTCCCCTTCTCCTCTGCCTTCAATCTTTCCCAGCATCAGGGCCTTTTCTAATGAGTTGACTCTTCACATCAGGTGGCCAAAGTACTGGAACTTCAGCTTCAGCATCAGTCCTTCCAATGAATATTCAGCACTGATCTCCTTTAGGATGGACTCGTTGGATCTTTTTGAAGTCCAAGGGACTCTCAAGAGTCTTCTCCAACACCACAGTTCAAAAGTATCAATTCCTCGGAGCTCAGCTTTCTTTATGGTCTAACTCTCACATCCTAAAGTGACTACTGGAAAAAACATAGCTTTGACTAGATGGAGCTTTGTTGGTAAAGTGATGTCTCTGCTTCCTAATATGTCTGTCTAGGTTGGTCATAGCTTTTCTTCCAAGAAGCAAGCATCTTAATTTCATGGCTGCAGTCACCATCTGCAGTGATTTTGGAGCCCAAGAAAATAGTCTGTCACTGTTTCCATTGTTTCCCCATCTATTTGCCAAGAAGTGATGGGACCAGATGCCACCATCTTAGTTTTTTGAATGTTGAGTTTTAAGTCAGCTTTTTCACTCTCCTCCTTCACCTTCATCAAGAGGCTCTTTAGTTCCTTTTCGCATTCTGCCAGAAGGGTGGTGTCATCTGCATATCTGAGATTATTGATATTTCTCCCTGCAATCTTGATTCCAGCTTGTGTTTCATCCAGCTCAGCATTTTCCGTGATGTACTCTGCATATAAGTTAAATGTGCAGGGTAACAATATACAGCCTTGACCTACTCCTTTCCCAATTTGGAAGCAATCTGTTGTTCCATGTCCAGTTCTAACTGTTGTTTCTTGACCTGCATACAGATTTCTCAGGCGGCAGGTCAGGTGGTCTGGTATTCCCATCTCTTTAAGAATTTTCTGCAGTTTGTTGTGATCCACAGTCAAAGGCTTTAGCATAGTCAATGAAGCAGAAGTCATTGCTTTTCTGGAATTTTGTTCCTTTCTCTGTGATCCAACTGATGTTGGCAATTTGCTCTCTGGTTCCTCTGCCTTTTCTAAACCCAGCTTGTACATCTAGGAGTTCTCAGTTCATGTACTGTTGAAGCCTAGCTTCAAGAATTTTGAGCATTACTTTGCTACTTTGTGAAATGAGTACAATTGTGTGGTAGTGTGAACATTCTTTAGCATTGCCTTTCTTTGGGATTGGAATTAAAACTGGACTTTTTCCAGTCCTGTAGCCACTGCTGAGTTTTCCAAATTTGCTGGCATATTGAGTGCAGCACTTTCACAGCATCATCTTTCAGGATTTGAAATAGCTCAACTGGAATTCCATCACCTCCACTAGCTTCGTTCGTAGTATGCTTCCTAAGGCCCACTTGACTTCGCATTCCAGGATGTATGGCTCTAGCTGAGTGATCACACCATCATGGTTATCTGGGTCATGAAGATTTTTTTTGTATTGTTCTTCATGTGTTCTTCCACCTCTTCTTAGTATCTTCTGCTTCTGTTAGGTCCATACCATTTCTGTCCTTTATTGAGCCCATCTTTGCATGAAATGTTCCCTTGGTATCTCTAATTTTCTTGAAGAGATCCCTAGTCTTTCCCACTCTATTGTTTTCCTCTATTTCTTTGCATTGATCACTTAGGAAGCCTTTCTTATCTCTCCTTGCTATTCTTTGGAACTTTGCATTCAGATGGGTATATCTTTCCTTTTCTCCTTTGCCTTTTGCTTCTCTTTTTTCATCTATTTGTAAGGCCTTCTCAGATAACCATTTTGCCTTCCTGCATTTCTTATTCTGGGTGATGGTTTTGATCACTGTCTCCTTCACAATGTCATGAACCTTCGTCCATAATTCTTTAGGCACTGTATCAGATCTAATCCCTTGAATCTACTTGTCACTTCCACTGAATAATCACAAGGGATTTGATTTAGGTCATAACTGAATGGCCTAATGGTTTTCCTTACTTTCTTTAGTTTCAGTCTGAATTTTGCGATAAGTTCATGTTCTGACACAATCAGCTCTCAGCCTTGTTTTTGCTGACTGTGTAGAGCATACACCGTATATGGTATACAGTGTATGTATGTATGTTAATATAATGGGCTGCCCAGGTAGGACTAGTGGTAAAGAACCTGTCTGCCAATACAGGAGACATGAAAGACGTGGGTTTGACCCTTGGTTTGGGAATATCCCGTGGAGGAGGAAATGACAACTCTCTTGAGTATTCTTGCCTGGAGAATCCATGGACATAACAGGCTGGTGAGCTATGGTCCGTAGGATTGCAGAGTCAAACACAACTGAACCAACTTAGCAAACACATGTAGTATAATAAATACCCTATACTATATATAGTATAAACCTTACTCGAGAAGGTGATAGCACCTGTGCTATTTTCTATCGCACTATAAACCCGGATTCACTACCTTTCTGGGGCTATTTCCTGCCTGTGAAGACAAGGCAATATTGGTTGACTCTTGGCAGTCCATGATTTAGCAAATGCTGTTACAGAGTTTCGCTACTAAACCAACTGTGGCCTCTTTTCCTGGATCCTCTTCTCCATCAGTTTGGGGTGTAGTAATGGGGGGCCCCAGGGAGAAGGGACATGGGACACCGAGGCAAGAGAACTGAGGCCAGCTTTTATTATCTCTTACACCAGTCTACTTGCCCAATCTGTGACAAACTATGGGACCTCATTCAACTCTAAGTGTATTTTACAACCAATGTATTTTAAAGTGGGGTCACTGAGGTTACCTGGCTCAGCGTCAGAGCCGCACGTGTCCTTAGGCCAGCTTTAAATATTCCAAGTGAAAAATCTGCAGCCTTTTGTTCACGGGGCAGGAGTTTGGGGCCATTAATGCTCCTGAGGATGGAGACAACTCCAAGCTGTGCTTGGAGGAAACCGTGTGCCTTGTTCACAGGCCAACCACCAGCAGAGGGGCCTGGTCTTAGAGCCAGGTCCTTGTCAGCCTGCTCAGCGTGCTTTAGATCCACTCCTGGCTCCAGGGCACATGCTGGGCCGCGTCAGCAACCTCCAGTAGGTCTCAAGACAGTTACCCATGCCTTACAAGTAAGGAGTCTGAGGTTCTAACAGAGTAAGGCCACAACTGACTTGTTGTTGGCTACAAAAGCCCAACCTTACCCTTCCACCACAGCTCTCCACTTCCTACTTTAAATATCCTGTTTTTAACTAGTTCAGCCATTAAAAGCCAAGGGACTTTGGTCGGAAGCGGTGGAGGAAAAGGGTGAAAGGGGCTCCAAGCAGCGGATGTTGAGAGGCGTGCCAGGGCTGAAACAGGGTGTTGGATAAAGGGGAAAGAGCCAGGACTGGGGTGGGGGAGCCTGGGGCTGGTGGAGATGCTCTGCTAACCAGCTGCTCCGGGGCTGGGCCTGCTTAACGAGAAGGCCCGTGAGCGCTCTCCCCTTGGTTTCTTTACAGGTTGATTTCAAAGGACAACTCTGTACAAGCCCTGCTCAGTTTTGCTCTTACCTGGGCGAGCCATCTTCCAGCCTTCAAGGGAAGGGGAGAGAATACGTAGAGCCACAGAGCAGACAGTCAGCAGTTCCTCTTGTTTCCGCTGCTGCTCAGATCCTTCCAGTCAGGGGGAGACAGCAGATGGAGGACCCCCGGCGAGCACAGTCTGAGCCCACTGTGTCCTTCTCCCCTCCAAGAGCTCACTGCACAGAATACTTATGACTGTGTCCAGCCCCTCCCCGCGGGGGCCACCCCCTCTCAGAGGTGACTGGGGTTTTAGGGCCTTGGTTGGCTGTGCGGACAGCCCAGACATTACACTCGAGACACATGTTCTCATCAAGAGCTTTCTGCAAAAAGGGAAACATAAAGGCTTCCAGGATCAACTTTTGTTGGCAGACCAAAAGAACTCTGATTATGTAAAGTAAAAGTTGTTACACAAGACCCCTTGGGAAACAGGTTATGGACAGTCCCACGGGCCACCTCAGCATTGGGCCAGGTGGTCCTGACAGCCTAGCGGCCACCGCCTCATGTTCCAGTGGGGTGCGGGGACAGGGGACGACCTCCCCCTCTCCCTCAGGGACGGGTGAAGGGTCTTGAGAACGAGGCAGGGAGCCAGGGGCTGTTCTTGAGACGTAGCGGAAAGGGAATTTGTAGACACTGGTCTTGAGGTGGCACACAAATGAGTCAAAGCAGAGGAAAATGGGCAAATATGAGGCAGTGGAAAAAGAGCACTCCTTCAAGCTAAAAATACGTTCGGAGGTGTTATGTTGGTCTATTTGGCCTCATTCTTCCACAGCATTGTCTGACACGCTGCTTGGAGACACACTTAGACTTGCAGGAACAATGAATAACAGGGGTGCTTAAGTGCTCAGGGCCCTTCTGCATTCCTATGTGGAATATTATATTATACCATAAAACTTTCCTTTTCAGGCACTGCTGTTGTATTTGTATTTTTATTTGTATACACATCCCTTTAAAAAAGTTAAAATACAAAAATACACAAAATAGTGAGTTTAAATTCTGCTTGTCAAGGAAAGGCACAGAGATCAACCTTGTGAAAGGTCAGGACTCATGGCCTAGGTCGGGGGTAACAGGAGCTGGGGTCTTCTGAGGCTTTCGGAACTTGCTCTGAAGGAAAACCCTTGGCACACACAGTCCTTCTTTTTTATTCACCGTCTCACGAAACACATACTCATTCACCTCTTCTTCGTAACCTGTGTCCAGAAAGAGCTGCGCGAGGAATTCTGGAAGACAAGCAGATCAGCAGTGCTTGCAGTCTGGAGGGCACTGCACCCTGAGCAACAGTCAGTGTAGCGGGAGGCTGAGGGAACCTCACCATGAGGAGGTGAGAAGCCTCTGCTCTGGGAGTTAACACACTTCTCCCTGTCAGCAGAAACTCCCAAACGATCACCAAGAGGCTCACCAACCTGGATCACACGCTCCTCGTCCCATCAGGATTCCCCACCAGCAGCACAGCCCCAGACCCTGCACTCAGTGTGTGTGCTCACTCACAGTGTGTGTGTTCATACAGTGTGTGCGCTCACTCATACAGTGTGTTCATACAGTGCGTGTGCTCTGTGTGCTCACTCATACAGTGTGTGTGCTCGTTCATACTGTGTGTTCATACAGTGTGTGTGCTCACTCACAGTGTGTGTGCTCATACAGTGTGTGTGCTCACAGTGTGTGTGCTCATACAGTGTGTGCGCTCACTCATACAGTGTGTGCTCATACAGTGTGTGCGCTCACTCATACAGTGTGTGCTCATACAGTGTGTGCACTCACTCATACAGTGTGTGCTCATACAGTGTGTGCACTCATAGTGTGTGTGCTCACTCATACAGTGTGTGCTCATACAGTGTGTGTGCTCACTCATACAGTGTGTGTTCATACAGGGCGTGCACTCACTCATACAGTGTGTGCTCATACAGTGTGTGTGCTCACTCATACAGTGTGTGTTCATACAGGGCGTGCACTCACTCATACAGTGTGTGCTCATACAGTGTGCACTCACTCATATAGTGTGTGCTCATACAGTACGTGCGCTCACTCATACAGTATGTGCGCTCACTCAGTGTGTGCGCTCACTCATACAGTGTGTTCATACAGTGTGTGCACTCACTCATACAGTGTGTGCTCATACAGTGTGCACTCACTCATACAGTGTGTGCTCATACAGTGCGTGCACTCACTCATACAGTGTGTGCTCATACAGTGCGTGCACTCACTCATACAGTGTGTGCTCATACAGTGCGTGCACTCACTCATACAGTGTGTGCTCATACAGTGCGTGCGCTCACTCATACAGTGTGTGCTCAGTGTGTGCGCTCACTCATACAGTGTGTGCTCATACAGTGTGTGCGCTCACTCATACAGTGTGTGCTCATACAGCGTGTGCGCTCACTCATACAGTGTGTGCTCATACAGTGCGTGCGCTCACTCATATAGTGTGTGCTCATACAGTGTGCACTCACTCATAGTGTGTGCTCATACAGTGTGTGTGCTCATAGTGTGTGCTCATACAGTGTGCACTCACTCATAGTGTGTGCTCATACAGTGTGTGCTCATACAGTGTGCACTCACTCATACAGTGTGTGCTCACACAGTGCGTGCACTCACTCATATAGTGTGTGCTCATACAGTGTGCACTCACTCATACAGTGTGTGCTCAGTGTGTGCACTCACTCATACAGTGTGTGCTCATACAGTGTGCACTCACTCATATAGTGTGTGCTCATACAGTGCGTGCGCTCACTCATACAGTGCGTGCGCTCACTCATACAGTGTGTTCATACAGTGTGTGCACTCACTCATACAGTGTGTGCTCATACAGTGTGCACTCACTCATACAGTGTGTGCTCATACAGTGCGTGCACTCACTCATACAGTGTGTGCTCATACAGTGTGCACTCACTCATAGTGTGTGCTCATACAGTGTGTGTGCTCATACAGTGTGTGCTCAGTGTGTGTGCTCACTCATACAGTGTGCTCATACAGTGTGTGCACTCACTCATACAGTGTGTGTGCTCACTCATACAGTGTGTGTTCATACAGTGCGTGCACTCACTCATACAGTGTGTGCTCATACAGTGTGCACTCACTCATACAGTGTGTGTTCATACAGGGCGTGCACTCACTCATACAGTGTGTGCTCATACAGTGTGCACTCACTCATACAGTGTGTGCTCAGTGTGTGCACTCACTCATACAGTGTGTGCTCATACAGTGTGCACTCACTCATACAGTGTGTGCTCATACAGTGCGTGCACTCACTCATACAGTGTGTGCTCATACAGTGCGTGCACTCACTCATACAGTGTGTGCTCATACAGTGCGTGCACTCACTCATACAGTGTGTGCTCATACAGTGTGTGCGCTCACTCATACAGTGTGTGCTCATACAGTGTGTGCGCTCACTCATACAGTGTGTGCTCATACAGTGTGTGCGCTCACTCAGTGTGTGCTCATACAGTGCGTGCACTCACTCATACAGTGCGTGCGCTCACTCATACAGTGTGTTCATACAGTGTGTGCACTCACTCATACAGTGTGTGCTCATACAGTGTGCACTCACTCATACAGTGTGTGCTCATACAGTGCGTGCACTCACTCATACAGTGTGTGCTCATACAGTGCATGCACTCACTCATACAGTGTGTGCTCATACAGTGTGTGCGCTCACTCATACAGTGTGTGCTCATACAGTGTGTGTGCTCACTCATACAGTGTGTGTTCATACAGGGCGTGCACTCACTCATATAGTGTGTGCTCATACAGTGTGCACTCACTCATACAGTGTGTGCTCAGTGTGTGCACTCACTCATACAGTGTGTGCTCATACAGTGTGCACTCACTCATATAGTGTGTGCTCATACAGTGCGTGCGCTCACTCATACAGTGTGTGCTCATACAGTGCGTGCACTCACTCATACAGTGCGTGCGCTCACTCATACAGTGTGTTCATACAGTGTGCACTCACTCATACAGTGTGTGCTCATACAGTGCGTGCACTCACTCATACAGTGCATGCGCTCACTCATACAGTGTGTTCATACAGTGTGTGCACTCACTCATACAGTGTGTGCTCATACAGTGCGTGCACTCATTCATACAGTGTGTGCTCATACAGTGCGTGCACTCATACAGTGTGTGTTCATACAGTGTGTGCTCATACAGTACGTGCACTCACTCATATAGTGTGCGCTCATACAGTGTGTGCGCTCACTCATACAGTGCGTGCTCATACAGTGCGTGCACTCACTCATACAGAGCGTGCGCTCACTCATACAGTGTGTTCATACAGTGTGTGCACTCACTCATACAGTGTGTGCTCATACAGTGCGTGTACTCACTCATACAGTGCGTGCACTCACTCATACAGTGTGTTCATACAGGGCGTGCACTCACTCATACAGTGTGTGCTCATACAGTGTGTGCACTCACTCATACAATGTGTGCTCACTCATACAGTGTGTGCTCATAGTGTGCACTCATAGTGTGTGCTCATACAGTGTGTGCACTCACTCATACAGTGTGTGCTCACTCATACAGTGTGTGCTCATACAGTGTGCACTCACTCATAGTGTGTGCTTATACAGTGTGTGCACTCACTCATACAGTGTGTGCTCATACAGTGTGTGTGCTCACTCATACAGTGTGTGTGCTCAGTGTGTGTGCTCATACAGTGTGTGCGCTCACTCATAGTGTGTGCTCACTCATAGTGTGTGTTCACTCATTGTGTGTGGTCAGTGTGTGTGTGTGTAACAAATATAAAAATTAGAGCTTAAGAAGGTAATTATACTACAGTTCATATTACAGGCATACCTCAGAGATACTGTGGGTTCAGTTCACCGCAAAAAAGGCAAAAAAAGCAATAAAGTAAGCATCACGAACTTTCTGGTTCTCCAGTATATATGTTATGTTTACACTATGCTGTGGTGTAGACACACAATGCAAGAGCATTGTGTCTAAAAAAACAATGCACATGCCTTAATTAAAAAATACTTTATTGCTAACCACCATTTGAGTCTTCAGTGAATCTTAGCAGTAATATTAAACATCACTGACCACAGACCACCATAGCAAATATAATACTAATGAAAAAGTCTGAAATACTGCAAGACATTAAGTGAGCAAATGCTATTGGAAAAATGGCGCCAATAGGCTTGCTCAACACAGGGTTGCAACAAACCTCCCATCTGTGAAAACTGGCGTGTTTGCTAAGCACAATAAAACAAGGTATGCCTGTATAAAATAGGCTTAAAACTAATGTTCAAAATACTAAAGTCATATTCAACATTTGGACTGTTTTCTTATCAAAAATGACCTTTTAAAGACCACTCTATTACCAAGTTTATGTACTTAAGAAGTTTCAATCACTTTTATAGAAAAAAGCCTCTTACCTTTGTGAGATTCTAGTAATCTCAAGGCACTAGCCTGTCCTATTTGCTTGATTTCTGAGGGAACAAAGTGAAGATTCTGGTTTGCCCCGCCAGCCTTCCCAACACTGCTCCTGGCCTCATCCACATGGCACATCAGAGCCTGTCTACTGACCCAGGTCACTAAATGGACACCCTCACTAGAGAGCCTGTGAGCTCATGGCTGATGCAGTAAGTGGTGTGTGTAAATGGGTTTGGTTTACACACCACTGGTGTGTTCATTCACCACTGGTGAATGCGCCTGTGTGTGGAGTCCAGTCGCCCCCAACCCCAAACAGTACCACAGCGACAACGCAATCAAGGAAACAGAAATCATGACCAATTCCAGCAATCTTACCATCAGTGAAAAAATATGATCTGGTTCCATCTTGTCTAACATAAAAGTTTTCTGCAAGTTTGCTCCCGGCTTTAAACCTAAGCATGGCATGATCATACAGCCCATAGTCGCGAAACAAGACTCTTTTGCCTGGTTTTAATACCTACAAAACAAAACAGGCTGCACATAACTTGGGGACCCAGTCAGACAGAACTTATTATAAAATAAAACCTGATTATTTTACAGATGAGAATAGCTTAATTTGTAACAGGATGAAAAGGGCCAGACTGAATTACCCGTACTACGAAGGAAAAGGGCCTGCCAAGCAAAGGTGTGGTAAGACCTGGCAGAGTCCCATGTGCTGGGGGGGTACTTCCTGAACTCTGAGGAGAGCACTCTCGAAGGTCCAGTGCCATAATCAAAACGCTGAAGACGTTAGAGGAAAAAACATGTACCCTCACTAATATATTAGTCTCCCATCACTTTATCAGCCATCTCCTAATCCATGACCCTGTGAGTCAAACTGCTTCTTTAAATATATATAATCAATACGAAGTCACATTTGGCCTTCCTCATCCTGAGTGTCAGTTCTGGTCTCCTGCACTGCAGTTCTGTATGGCCTGCCTACCATGCTAACACCATGCTAAGACCTTTACAGCTGACCAGACATTTTCTCACTAAGTCTTCAAACAATTCTGGGAGGAAAAGTGTGATTATCCCCTGAGACTAAGAAACTGGTAGCAGAAAAAGGAAGTGATGTGCCCACAATCATACAGCAGCTGTTAAACAGCGGAGTCCGAGCTCATACTTGGGTCAAATGGCATCACACTAGAAGATCAGGGATGTTTGTTAGTCCCGGGCAGCAGTGGGGAGGAGGAGTGTCAGTCCAATTCTGTCCTCACTCCTAACAAGACCAGAGAGGCTGGGAGGGAAGGGCTAACACCACCCATTCTCCCCCTACTGCTGCACTTCTTGCTTTGAGGTGGAGCACCCTCAGGCCAGCACAGTGTGTAGAGAAGGGAAAAGTGTCAGGCCCTGGTGGGAGTCCCTTACCACAGCCTTTTACCAACAGTTGTCACAGAGCAGACATTTCAAAAACTGGAAGGTAAAATCTGCAGAGCATCGTATAACTGCTCCTCTCCCACAAAGCAAACAGCCATATGCTTTTCAGAATGAAAAGAACAAGGTACTTGCTGGGACACTTGCTTTTTAAGTGGGTATTCTTTCAAACTGTGTAACATTACCAAGTGAAAGTGGTCTTCAAAGGGGGCATTGATTTTACTACTAAGTATATTCTGACTCATCACATCTGCAAGATAATCTTTAAAACGTATGACATATACTACCTATTACAGTAGATATCTCAAGTAATTTGATATTTCCTCTTCCTGAATAGAATATGAAAGAGTCCATAATACTTCCAAGTGTGCTGCAGATTTTCTCACTTAGAGAATTCTTATCAACACTAGCATGCATTTAAAATACTGTCAATGAAGAGCCTCTTGGATAAAAATATTCTTACTTTGGTCAGAAATGCTAAATTTTAAAATGTGACTAAATGAGAAGAAAACAATCTGAAAACTTTAATTTGTATGAGACTCACTCTTATTTTCAGAAGGAAGGGAAGGCCGCATGGGACTCTCGCTCAGGAATCTGGAACTCCTGATCCATAGGCCAGCTCTTCTGTTAACTGGCTGAATGACCCTAGACAAATTATTTCATCCCTCTAATGTGTTTTCTCGTCTGTAAAACAGAAATTACGGTCCTAACACCTCCTCTGAGGCAGGATTGTGCCTTCGCTGGGTTTCTCATCCTTCCAGCAGCTCCATGAAGATGGCAGGTGAGATCAGTCAGACCCACTCTTGGTGGGTTTAGAGTACAAGTGATTTGCTCGGGCTTTCAAGGCAAGTCAGTGGCACAGGGAAGACCAAAATCCTGTCTTCTGACGACAAATCTGGTTGATTTTTACTCCACCATTTCATTCCAAAAATGAGGGAACCCAACTTTAAGGTTCCCTTTCAGTTTAAAATTAAGTGGTTTTAAAATTCCTCTGGTGTTACCATCCTAGTGTAATTAGCTCTACCATGGAAAAGCATGTTACTGTGGTTGCTCATACAGGACTGGAGAGCTGCCCAAAGGGTGTCTGACTGTCAGAGGCTGAGAGGCTGCTTCTTCCCCCAACTTCCTGATGAAGCACATGATATCCAATTAATGAACCAGTCACCGTGTATGGCGGCCTCACATTGCTGTTGTGAACTCATTCCAGGTCATCTGAAAAAGGAATTCTATTGAGGGCTAAAACAGGAGGAGGCTGAAATGGAACTTATTAGCCTAAGAAAGGTTACAACAGAGGCCAGGTGTGGACTGAGACAGCTCAAGTCAGCATTTTTTTTTTTTAACATAACATTTCATTATTACTAAAATACACACAACATGCTATATGTTTTCATTTAAATCAAGAAGAGGGATTTCCTCATTAATACTCGGCTTTAGTAGACTTCCCGTTGGACTTTATTATAATCTAATGGTGTCTCATTAAGGCTTTATTTTCCATTTCCTGGGTTACTGAGGTTATCTGTTCATATGTTAACTTACTATCTGTATATTCTCTTCTATAAAAAGACTTTTTCCATTGTCATTCTTACTGTTACCCAAGAACTCTTTATACATTCTGAAATACTAATCTTTGTCAGTTGAATAGTTTTTTGGTTTTTTTTTTTTTTTTTTTGCCTCAGCGAGTGGCATGTGGAATCTTAGTTCCCCAAACAGAGGACCAGGGATCAAACCCACGCCCCTCTGCAGTGGAAGGAAGTAGTCTTAATCACTGAACTACCAGAGAAGGCTCTCAGTTGAGTAGACTTTAAGTTACTTTTCCCACCTGGTCTCTCTAATTTCTTTGTATCATCTTATCGTTTGAAGAAAACAAACTCCTAATTTTATTATATCATCTTTATGCACAGAATGCTTTTCAGTCTTTGAGAAAATTTTCCCCACTCTGAAGTCAAAGATTTTTTTCTTATAGTTTCTTCTGAAAGGCTTAAACTTTTTGTCTTTTCCAGGTAAGTCTTTATTTTTTTTTCCAGGTAAGTCTTTAAATCCACCTTTAAATCCATACAAAATGACTTTTGCATAAGGATGTGAAGCAGGAAAACAATTCTGGATTTTTCCCACAGGGACCACCAATGGTCCCAGAATCACTTCCTGAGCAGTCCTTTTCCCAGTCATCTTCCAATGTCACCTCTATCAACTATCAAATTTCCATACATACATGGATCTTCTTCTAAGCTATCATATTTCATTTGTCAATTTTTCTGTCCCTCTGCAAATACCATCTGTCTTAATAACTGTAGCTGTAATGAGCCTTTATATCTGGTAAGGTATAAATCTCCCCATCTCCTTCTTCAGGAATGTTTTGACTCTATTCCTTGATGTAAATTTAGGATCAACTTGTCAATTTCCTCAAAAAAAAAAAAAAAAAAAAAAGTCTACCAAAAACCTGAAACTTAAACAACAGGGTAAAATATATCATGAAGTGGAACATGATTACACAGTGCATGTTACTTTTTTAAATAAAGCATACAATTCTGTGGCATTCATCTTATACCTGTGTAATTCTTTAATATTAATATTCTTTATATTTTCTCAATAGACAATTATACTACCTGAAAACAATGTATTTCTCATTCTTCTTTCTGGTGTTTTCCAGCTGACTGGGACCTCCAGCACAACAATGAACAGTACTGACAGTGGGCACTGTCCTCCCCACGAAGTCCCAGACATTCCTTACTCCTGTCTCCCACTCCTTCCTAGTCCCTGGACCCTTCATCAGTGAAATCACTGGTATCCTGAATGCTCCCTTCACATTCCTGTGGTAACCACCTGACTGTCCCCTGAGGACAGTTTTCCTGCCACCTCTCAAGCAGGCAGAGTTTTCGCCCATGGCCCGAGTATCACCGAGTGCGGGGATGGAACAGGGTCCTCCTTGCCCCCCACTGCTTCTTTCTGTGCATCCCTGTTTCTCCCCTCATTTCAGCTCTGAACCTCCTGCCGTCAGATCATACCACCACCCACTACCTCTTATCATTGCTGTTGTTTAGTCACTAAGTCGTGTCCGACTCTTTGCGACACTATGGACTGTAGCTTGCCAGGCTCCTTTGCCCATGGGATTTCCCAGGTGAGAGTACTGGAGTGGGTTGCCATTTCCTGCTCCAGGAGATGTTCCCAAACCAGGGATCGAACTCACATCTCCTGCACTGGCAGATGGATTCTTTACCACTGAGCCACGAGGGCATCTATTAGTTCCAGGGTCGTTTCCCTCGGTTTCATGATGAATGTTCCTTCTGGTTTATGCTCTTATCCGTACACTACTCCATTTTTAACTCCAATTAATATGAACATACACATGAATTACCCTTCCAAATATGCTGGATTCAATGATTTGAGCTTCTCTCTTTCAAAGATTTCATCCTTCACCTTACCTTAATCACTCACTCCCACAGTAATGTTCTAAAGTCTTGCCCACACCATGAAGTGTGATAACCCCTTCATACTCTCAATGTCACACAAGTCACCCTCTGACCACCCTCACCATTTTTCCATCTGTCTAATCCCCAGCTTTCACAATCCTTCACTTTCAACTGAACCGTCAAAGGGAAGGACGATAAGGTGGCCTGTCTCGAGTCCCATTATTTGGAAGTGCAACTTCACTCCCCGAGAGCCGCAGCAGCCTGCTGGTAGTCACAGCAGCTTGGGTTCTAACAGCAACGATGGGAGAGGCAACAATGACCATGGCTGACTTTTAAGAGCACTCACCATTACTAGGCACTGCACTAAGCACTGCAAAAACATCTCATATAATCTACACCAAATCCTAAGATCTAGGAACCATTATCTCAACATCCCACAGGTAATGAACCAGAGGCTCAGAGAGGTAAAGGCAGTGGCCTGCGTAGGGAAGTAAAGCTTAACTCGAGGCACGCTGACTCCAGCCTGTGTGCCCTGTGCGCTGGCCCCTGCTCCCTTTGGCTTTACCGCAGGGCTCCACAGATCCCAGGCAGCCGCTCCAAGGCCGGCCAAGCTCTGAAGCGCAGCTATGGCCACTAAGCTAATCAGAACTTAAGGTGGACGTTTTACGCAGGAGAACTTCTTTTCATACACCGACTACACAGCCCACCTTGTAAGAACAGGGAGACTGTCAATTAAGATGGCATGTGAGCCTCAGAGGGAAGGTAAGTGAAAAATCAGGATGTCAAACCTTCAAATGCAGGCTCGCAATCACTAACCTTGTAAATGTTTTGTAAGACAAGGTGCATCTTATCAGGGTGAACTGCAGAGAGCACAAATATCAATGTGACAACATCCACAGACTCTGGGGGCACGTGCTCCAGAAGGTCATCTTTGGTCAGATCACACTGGAACACCTTGCATCTTTCTGTGTCATAAAGAGGATTTTGCTAGAGAGGAGAAAAACACAAAATAACTTCAACACAACATCCATGCTGATACATATAGAAAAACACAACACACATGGAGATGCTATTTCCATGTGTACACTGCTGCAGAGAACTCAACAATCACTGTTACTGGGTAAACTGAGGAGCAGGTCATTTTCACATTAAAGCATGTAATATTCAATATGCTATGAGGGGCAAGATCTCAGTTTAACAAATAATTTTGTTCCTTTTTTTTTCTTTAAAAAAATTTTAAATTTTATATTGGAGTATAGTTGATTAACAACATCTGTTGCCTTAGTTTCAGGTGTAGAGTGATTCAGTTATACGTATACATGTATCTTCTTTTCAAATTCTTTTCCCATTTATGTTATTAGAGTACTGGGCTGAGTTCCCTGTGCTATACAGTAGGTCCTTGTTGATGGATCTCTTTTAAACACATTAACGAATTATTTTTAACTGCGTATACTATCTATCATATATTCCAAACTGAGCATTTCAGAAGCAGGTAACTCCAGAGGGATGATAAATCAAAACCTGCCTCTGCTCCGTCAGCCCTCCTCTGAATCATCCACTATAACCCTGAATCCTATGAGAGGGCCTTCCAACTCTCTTTACTGAGATGCTCCCATATGTCTTCTGGGTATATTTTCCCTTGATGCATCGAGCTAAGAAAACCCCTTTTAAAATACAAGTGTGTTCCTGGTATAGTCTGGTAATGGGTTTCAACACATATATAACAGCATTATGGAGAAAAATAATAAACTTGTCTTTAATATAAATAAGGACCTTAATAAGCAGATATATAAAGTTATAGGACGGGTCAGTTCTACCTATATCTCTGCTTATAAATTGGAGTTTATTGCGATCTCAACCGAATCCTCACAGATTTCAAGAAATTTGATAAGGTGAATTTTATTCATCTGGAAGTAAAAACCTTTAGAAGAGCCAAGACAATTTTTAGATGAAAAGCAATGGAGGAGGCGGCATACCACAGGACATCAAAACACATTACAAAATGTAGTACTAAACAGTGCGGTTTGAGAATGGGGACCAACAGATCAGCGAGCCTAAAGACTGTCCCCAAACAGACCCATGTATTTAGAGGGATCAGTAGTGTATATGACAGAAGATAGGTGACAAAAATGACATTAAATTTTTTAAAAAGATAGAGAACAAAGGTTACAATCACCAGGAATGGAAAATGAATTTCTCCCTCAATTCACTGTTTGAACAGCTAGCTCTATCCACTTGTGTTAAAGGACAGCAGACCACTAGGAGAAATAAAAGAATTCAGCTCCAGTGCAGAGGTAGAGAGACGGAGAGCCTATCCTTACAGGGCCATGAGCGGGACAGAGAGCAACTTCATGTGAACCCACAAGACAGCAGAGGTCAAAGAACCCCCAGCCACCTCCAGATCTGGAGAGGGAGCAGCACTTTCATGAAGATGCAGGACCCAAGCATTTACTTACCTGAGGCAGGAGCCTCCAGTCTGGAGACAGAAAACTAGCAATGTGACAAACAGCACGAAGCTCCCAGGGCTGGAGCCAGCGGGAGGCCACCCTTGCAGGTGTTTCCCCCAGGGACATCGCTTAGACTCTCACAGAAAGAACAGGGCTCTTTCTAGGGCTGGACTTTCTCAGCTCCTTTAAGGGAGAAAAGGTTTAATATGCAGGGGAAAAGCCATCTGAGACTTGAGTCCTTGGCGCACTGGTGGACTATCACTGCCCCGTGGGAGGGCACTGCTCTGCCCTCTGCTTTGTCTTAATCTGCAGAGAGAAAGGCCTCATGACCACAGAGGAACAGAGGAGGGGAAGGGATGAGAAAGAAAAGCTCTATTCCTGGAGAGGCAGAAACACTTGTGGGAAAGCTGCAAGAAGACAGGCTCGTCACAGGGAGCAGCACAGAGGGAAGACCCGAAGCCAACAGGAGCAACAGAGTCACCAGAGGAGTTTGAAGTCTCACGGGCCCATAGCAACAACAAACCTCACAGGTAACTGTAACAACAACAGACTTTAACACAGAGTGCAACTCCTGTCTAGATGATCACAAATCCTTATTACCTATCCACTGCCCTGGATAACATACCTAGCTTTCAACAAAAAAAGAACACGGCACACCATAAGGCAAGAAAAAAACATGGTCTGAAGAGACAATCATGAAAACCAGATTCAAATATGACACAGACACTGGAACTACAGGTTTGAACATTAAAAAACAAAAAAATTATGACTAACGTATTATAGGCTTTAATGAAAAAGGTGGACAACACACAAGATCAAATAGGTAATTTCAGAGATAGAAACTACAAGTCAATGGGAAATGCTAAAAACCAAAACATTGTAACAGAAATGAAAAATGCTTCTGACAGGCTCATCAATAGGAAATACTTACTGCCTAAAAGTAATCAGTGAATTTGATGATAAGACATCAGAAAGTACACAAACTGAAAATGCAAAGGGCAAAAAAGTTAAAAAAAAAAAGCCAGCATCCAAGAGCTGTGAAACAATAGCAAATGGCATAAAAGAGATAACTGGAATCCTCGGGGAAAACAAGAACTCAAGAAATACTCGAAAAATAATGGCCAAACTTTTCCAGACTAATTAAAAATCCTCATAACCAAAATTATAAAAGGCATATCTATGTGATTATAGAACTCCAAAAAGACTTAATAAAACTTTAGTACCTCAAAAGGAAATTATTAATTTGATGTGATCACTTAAATTCTATAATAAAACAATACCATACAACAATGCCTAATAAACTGGAAGAACTGTTTGCAACAGATATAACAGAATATATCCTCAAAATAGGAAACAAAATGACAGAAAGTATGAATAGGTATGAATAGACAATTCATACTACTGTCTAAGCCCAATGTGGGTGAGCATTTTGTTTGTTTTGTTTATTACTTCATCCCAACGCTTAGAACAGTGATTGGCCTACATTAGGCTCCGGATAAACATATGTAGAATAAAGGAAGAAAAACAAGCAGAAGAAAAACTAATGCTTATTTACATATCACAAAATCTTCAACCTTATTTGTTATAAAGAATAAACAATTTAAAATATGCAGACAGTACTTTTGGCCTATAAGATTGGGAGATATAGAAAAGACTGATGGTGGGACTTCCAAGGTGGTCCAGGAGATAAGATTCTGTGCTTTCAATGCATGGGGGCGTGGGTTTGATCCCTGAATGAGGAACCAGGATCCCACATGCTGTACAGTGCAGCCAAAAAAAAGGACTGTTGTTAAATGTTGATGACACAGGGGAAAAAAAACTTTATATTATTGGTGAAATTATAAATTGGTATAATTTTCTGGATGGATAGCTGGCATTATCTATTTAAATTTTAATGTGTATGCTTCCTCCAAGGAATTCTATTTCTTCTATTAGTCACCACAGAGACATGTACACATGGGTTTTGGGGCATGCGAATAATTCTGATTACATCAATCCTACTTGTGAGAGCAAAAATTAGAGGCAATTTGAATGATCATCAACAACGCAAATATTACTATATGGCATATCCATTCTATGAAATACTACAAGAGGTAAATGAAATGCAGTAGACCTACATGTACTAGGATGAAAAAACTCGGCAAGATACAATGTAGAGCGAAGAAGGTAGGTTATAGTACAATGTGATATCACTGTTAAAAAAGTCTAATAGGTGCTAAAATTGTGAAGGGTTGATGGAAAAATAGATATCTGCATGTTGCCAAAATATCCCTCACATATCTATTAATGACAAAAAGAAGACACCTGTGCAACAGGGGAATTAGGAAGCCACCTTAACCCAGTGGCCAAAACTAGCAACACTTACAGTGAGATTAGATCACTGCCTCCTGACAGGATGCAATATGAAAGCTACATCATCACCTATTAAAGTGTTTTTGCTCAAAATATTTTACCTGATTTAAATCTAACTTCTGGTTTACAGAAAATACAAGGCATAAAGCAATAAGTTAAACAATGATAGAAAGAAACAATGAGCCAATTTGGAATGTGGGACCTCATTACATAAAATTGCTTGCTCTCCCAAAACTCAATGTCATTGATGAAAAAGTCAAGGGGAAGGGCAGGAATGTTTTAAGCTAAGAAGATTTAAGGTACATAATACAGTGTAAGATGCAGTCCTTAACTAAATACAGCTATAAACGACACTATAAAAGTTTACAAAGCAAAAGAAGCAAAATGCTAGCAATCATTAAATCTAGACTCAAGTTTATGGATGTTGTCTGGTATTTCTTTCTACTTTTCTAAATAATGCTATGTTTCTGTATGTATTATACATGCACATACACAGGAATAGGAATACAGTGATCATAGCTGGTCCTCCAGGAAGAGGACTGGAATTGGGAAAACGGGTGTGGAATTTAGGTCCAACAAGTCTAGGAAAATAGAACATAACACATGGATGGTGCACCAACCTTGACATATTCAACAGCTCTTGGAGAAAAATCACAGGCATAGGCAAAGATATCTGGATCTTCTTCTAAAAGTGGGAATAAACAGTTCCCAACCCCACAGCCAGCTTCAAGCATAGTCAATTTTTGATCTTCAAACTGAGGAAAGAGAACCCAAAAGTTACAGTACACAATATCCACATAATGAAGAAACAAACTAAAAAGTCCAGAACATGAAACAAAGTCTCTGCCCCCATGGAGCAGACAATTAACCAGTGAACTGATAACCCAAAGCAACTGATGCCTCCTCTGTTGTCCAACACCGGGTAATCTGGTGTGGGGAAAACACAGCATAATGGCTAACAAAACAGGCTCTGAGGTTAAATTGCCTGCACTCAAATCTGAACTCTTCCCCTCACCCCATGTTCCATCACTGAACAAATCACTTAAACAGCTTTGTCCGTCAATTTCATCAGCAAGTGGGAATAACACTAATGCTAAACTTCAACATGTTACTTTAAGGTTTAAATTACAGAACAGTACTGTTAAGTTCATGTAAAGGGGTGTGGTGAAGTATTCATCATTATTATCATTATGAACCTGTCACTGAAATCATTCCGTATGAACTCAATATTTACAACTTTCAGATTAGCTTTAAAGAAACAGAAAATGCCCACTAACGTCCTCTCTCCTCTGTATTTTACAACTCAGCAACTGCTAAAACTATTTGAGACAGTGTGTATCTAAGCTACAAAAATTCACGAAGCCTTTGACAGGTTTCATAAATTTTCTACCTGACACTCGCCCTGGGAATGCAATAAAACACCCCTCTTCTACATATTTTAAGTGAAGAATCGCTCAATTAAGGTGCATTAGTTTACCTCTCTACATGATCTGAGCTCCTCAAACTCTCTGGTAGTCCAGTGTCTGTCTTTGAAAAAATTAGTGCTGTTTCTTTTGTAAAAAAGGTCCCAGTTCTTCTGAGCCTCTTTTTCCAGTTTCTGCTGTTTAAAATCAGACACTAAAGCTTGGTCTCGCTTCAGTTTCTCCTCTTCTTCAGAGCTGAGAATCCTTGTCTGCAGCCCTCTCCTTTGCAAAGCAGCCATCTCCTACGTGGACGGTCCTATATTGAACATTTAACACTGCTGGAGATTCTCCATTCCTCAACAACCTGAGGAATTCAAGCGGATACCACAGACACAGGCAGGGTCCTCTCAGATATGGTCCCTCAGGCTGGGTTCAAGCCTGAAGCGGCATCGGATACTTAGCAGGAAAGAAAAAAAAAAAAATCCAGTTGGGGGGGTTCTAGAACAGTTTGGTTTTTGTTTTTAAGATGCTGAGTTAGAGGTTCCAGAATAGTTCTTTCACTTAACATTTCAATCCCGCAAACATTTACTAGATGCTGACCCTACACAAAGCCCTGCCCCACTACAGGAGAAGAGGTCACAAAGAGCAAGACAGAGACCCCGCCGTCAGGGGGCTGAGCGGCCAGGGCTCTCACGCACTGAAAGGCTGAATTCCAACCCGAACAGTCAGTAAGCCGCTTTAGTCAGGAAAAAAAGTCACTCTCCAGAACTGACAGAGAAACCTTACGGTTCCTCAGGGTTCGGTGTCCGTGAAACGGGGGTGTCTTTAAAAACAACAACGACGGCCGTCGAAGTCGGAGGCGGTCGGTCACCGTCGCCAAGGACGCGAGACACGGCGTTTTTCGGGGAAAACGGAGCTACTACGCCCGGGTGGCCTGAATCTGTCTCATAATCCGAGGGGGCGTCCCTTTCTGGGAACGGAGGCCCTCGCGCCGCCCTGGGCGCGCGAAAGGGACGAAGAAGAGGCTCAGGGACGCGGAGAGTGGGGCCGCCAGGACCCTGCGGATGAGCCGGGCAGCCCAGCCGCGAGGGGCGGCGGCGACCCGCGTGAGCCTAGTCCACCGCGCGCTGGGCGCCCCCGTCAGTTCTCAGCTTCCCCTGGAGGGTGGGAACGGGCGCGCTGAGCCCCCAGCCAGGCGCTGCCTCAAAAGCAGAATTTGGGAGCCCCCGCGGAGAAAAAAAAAAAAAAAAAACCAAAACCCTTCGACAGGTCAACACCCACCCCCCGCCCCGCGGAGAGACCTCAAATCCGGATTCTCCTGGCAGAGAAGACTTTCGGCCATGGCACCGCCCCCGCTACTTCCGTTGCGGGCCCGGAAGTCCCTCCTCGGCGCCGGAAGTTCCGCTGTCGGGTCTCCTCAGAGTCGTTCCCCGCCCAGACGCGCAGGCCCGAGCTCGTTTCCGGCCTGCGCGGGTGGGCGCCGACTCGGCTACCCGCGCGCCCCCGAGCGCTGTCCCGGTAGCGCGGCTCCCCCGGACGCCGGCGCCGGCGGCTCGGGCCGGGGCCGCGCCAGGAGGGCGCCCGGGCGGGCGCGAGGCACGTGCGGGGCCATGAACGGGACGGCCAACCCGCTGCTGGACCGCGAGGAGCACTGCCTGCGACTCGGGGAGAGCTTCGAGAAGCGGCCGCGGGCCTCCTTCCACACCATCCGTTGTGAGTTCGCACACCGGCCGCCCTCGGCCCCGCAGAAGGCCAGGGGGCCTTGCCGGCGTTCCCTCCCTTGAGGGACCTCGGGTTTTCCCTTTGTTTTTTTCCCAGCTCCCTCTTCTTAGACCAGACCCTTCCCTCAGCTCCCAGGATTTCTCCGCCTTGCGCTACCAAATGCTTCTTCCGAAGGTCATTGGATCCTCTTGCGCCCAGAACCTCCAAGTCCCCCTCCTCACCCCCACCGCCCCCCCACACACCCCAGTCTCCACGCTTCGGGAGCTTTTCTTCTTTCCTCGGGGTTGGCATCCTCCACCTTCCCTTCTTAATGCCGAAGGGCTGCGACCGCACATCAGTTTCCAGCTTCTTTGTATTCCAGCCTCCCCCCCCCGCCCCGCCACACACACACACCCCGATCCCCACTGGGGATCTCCACGCTTCAGGAGGTTTTCTCGTTTTCCTCGGGGTTGGCCTCCACTCCCTCCTGTTCCATTCCCTTCCTGTCTTTCCTTTTCTTTCCTTGCCCGCTTTGGTTCTATTCTACCCGACGCCCCGCTGCAGCCCCAGAGTCCGCAGCTCTGCACCTCATCCGTCTTCTTTTCCTCCATATATCTGTGCCAGCTTGTCTCGTGCTTTGATGTCTTTTTGAGGTCACCAGACTACCCCTGACTTTTCTTCCAGACCCAGTCTCTTGTGGGTGGAAAGTAAAATTAGAGAGCCAGGAATAAGTTAGAGCTCGATCTATGTTTGGAAGCAAAAGCCAGAGGCGTAAGGAATGTGCACATAGTCATTATGCTGGACCTCTTTTTTTCTCCATGATTACAGACTCTGTTGAGGGAGGGCCTTTCCACTCTGTATCCTGGGTGAAGAATTGGCCGCCGGAGCATCCCACTGTGATTCACAGACTCCTGGTTTCGCGTCCTGGTAGCCCCAGTACTGGTTAAGACTTGTTTTTGTCCGAGGAGCTCTTAGATGTGACTCAACACCTTGAAACAGGGCGTAGTAGATAATGAACTTCTGTTTTCCTGTGGTCACTTGCCAGGCCATTAGTCTGCTTCCTGCTGACAGCAGATCACCCTCTGAGGGGCTGGGTTTTGGGAATGGCATAAGAGCAGCATCATTTCCTGAGCAGTTTACTAAGCTGATGTGTTAGCAGAATGAAGGATAATGTGCAGTTTAAATCAGACACTTGACTGAAGTACGTGGCCCGCTGTTTGAGGCAGGTTTGTGTTAAAAGGGAGTAAGATGGCTGTTCACACTGTGCCTTAACTGCAGTTCAGAAACATGGGCAGGATTAACCTTTGGAAATACAGTTCAACCTTCTGCTCCAGATATCTGTAGGAATATTCTTGTTAGAGCTATGGAACTTGAGTGTGGCAAATCCTAACTTTGACAGTTCTTATCAAAATGAAATCAACTTATATCATGTTGTGACCTTTCATGTTTCATATTGTGTTTTATAATCACAGAGTTTTAAAAACATACTCTGTTGCTTTTCATCTTAATAATAACCCTAATAAAACACCTCATTGTGGGTAATAAGGCATGAATTTTCATCTGTCACTTGGGGGAAGGGAGTATCTTTGCTTAATGAAATGTTATCTAAAGTCTAGCCTTTTTCCTTCTAAATTATCCAGTGGGGATAAGAGGAAAAGTATATGGAGGTATAGATGAAACAATATTGTCCCAGAACTGGTAATGAAGCTGGGTGATGGTACACAGGACTCATTGTATTATTCTCTTTGCTGTTGTATATGAGAAGCTTTCCACAGTGAGATAACATTTTAAGAAATTCTAAGTGGTTTGTATTTTCTTTTATCTGAGTTGCAAAAAATTTCTGTTCTTACACGCGAATACCCTGCAAGCACTTAGTACAAGTAACCTGGTGAATAAATGCTTTGTTTCTTTCCCTTTAGATGACTTTAAGCCGGCGTCTATAGACACTTCCTGTGAAGGAGAGCTTCAGGTTGGCAAAGGCGATGAAGTCACAATTACACTGCCACACATCCCTGTAGGTTTTATTCCATCGTTGTTGTTTTTCAATATGGAATCACAGTAAATCTTCATATTCTGTTATTGCAGTTTGATTTCCTCCTTTTTAAAAACTTCTAGATTTCCAAAGTGCCAACATAAGGAGAAAAGGAACTCTGGGGGTTGGATGGGGTGGAATTCATGCTTCCCAGGCTCCTGAGCAAAAAAATTCTTTGTCATTTTTCCCAAACTCCCTTTTTCCCTTTTGTTCCAAAGAAGGCATGGTGGAACCTGGCTCCTCCCTTAGACACATGTAGTCTCCTCCAACAGCTGAAGAAAAAGAGGCCTAAGTGCCCTATGGGTATAAAACAGCAACAGCTTAGGAGCGTGGAGAGGCAGGGGCAGGATCAGCGTGGTTTGTGAATCTGGCAGGGGGTGATGTGCAGGCTCGTGGTTTCAGGCAAGGCCTCGATTCAGAGCCCCAGGTTAAAAGCTGAGTGGAGAACCCTCCCAGAGAGAGACACTGCTGAAGCCTTACCAAGGCACCTCTGTGATCTCAAGGATCAGACAGAATAGTCTTTAATGAACACGTGTCAGTGCATGTCCGAGGCCTGTCCTGGAACATGATAAGTTCTTGGTAACCAGTGAGAGAAAAAAGACTCTAGACAGAGAGACCTGGGAAGCTTTGTGCTGACAGAAAACTGTCTGCCAGTTTAAACTGCTGTCTCATTAGTTGTTGTCTTTGGCAGGTTACATCATCTCCCTTTGGACCTTAATTTCCCAAATGTAAAATAAAGGGGTTAGATAAATGGTCCCTAAGGTCCCTTCCAGCTCTTAATTTTTACTGTATGAACCAGGAGTCAAGGAGCCAACCAATTTCTGATTCTGTCAAGGGGATTAAACGATATATTCGGCAAATATTAACATCCACCCACCGTGGTGCTGGCTCGTTACTAGGTACTGAGAATATAGTCTTGAAGAAAACAAGCGTGTTTCTTGCCTTTAGGGAGTTTCAGTAACTGTAGGAAATATAGCACTTGCTGTAGAAAATCTAGGAAGACTTCTCTGAGGAAGTGACCTTTGAGCAAATTTGAAGGTTGAATAATTGAAAGGGAGGGAGGGGTTGGGATGCTGCAGACAGAATCCTTGTTAAATCCCTTCAAGACAGAACTTGCGATTCTGAGAGAGGACTGGTGCCTTCTTCCCTGAGACCCGCAGAGCCCGGGGTGAGAGGAGCCGGGTGCAATGGAGGGGCCAGGTGGCTGGTTTGAAGGTTTTCTTCTTGGGTCTTAAGCACTGGGCAGTCTTGGAAGGCCTTAGGCAGGTTAGTGGCTTGAGGTACTTGAACCAGCTAGAACAGTGAGCTTGGAGAAGGTGTGTGGTTACTTAGCATGAAGGGGAAGCCCGGACTCTCCTATTACAAGGAAGTGCAGAGATCACTCACTAGCTTTACTGCTCATAGTGAGAGCTCTTCTCAGTGTCAGACATGAATGTGTCATTTCTGTTTCTCAGTTCACACTTTACTATTATTTGTAACATTTCCCAAATCTCTGGAAAATGTATAGTAAATTTAAAATTTTATATATATTTCTTGATTACTTAGAGCTAGTTGCACAGTTACAGATTCTTGTTATATTATTTCCTCTTTAACTCCTGGCTTCCCAAGCAAAAATAAAATACAAATCAGTTTATTCTGTTTCTTTAAAAAAAAAAAATGTTTATTTGACTGTGCTGAATCTTGGTTGCAGCAGGTGGGATCTCGTTCCCTGACCAGGAAGCGAACCTGGGCCTCTGGCATTGTGAGCACAGAGTCTTAGCCACTGGACCACCAAGGAAGTCCCCTTTCTATTCCTGTTTGGGTAGTTCTGATAAAAGATTTGATGAGATAAAGCCAGCTCTAAATTAGTCTTGATATGCATAACTGGAGTATTTGGTTTGATTGTCTGAATTGTTCTTTTGTGGCGGAAAAGGGATCCACACCACCGATGACTGTGTTCAAGGGGAACAAGCGGCCTTACCAGAAGGACTGTGTGCTGATCATCAATCACGACACTGGAGAATATGTGCTGGAGAAGCTCAGCAGCAGCATCCAGGTCAAGAAGACACGGTGTGTGAGCAGCGGAGCGAGGCCGCTGTGCCCTTGCTGGAGGCGCCCCTTGTCCGTCCGGTTACTTTGTAAGAATGTGCGCGTCTGGGAGCTTAGTGTCCTGTTGGCAGTCCCAGCAGCTCCCACCTGTGTCTTCTCAGACAAGTCAATAAAATGTCTTTTCTTCAAAGGCAGTGAAAATTAATAATGTTTTTAAGACTTGAAACATAGAAGTCACCGGGGAGAGGGGTGAACTTCATGATTTTTTTTTTTTTAATTTTTTTTTCTTTTTATTTATCACAACCATAGTGTATCTTTTTTTTTTTTACATGTATTCCCCATCCCGGTCCCCCCTTGAACTTTATGATTAAGTCAGTTTTATTAATCTCATGGTAGTTGATGAGGTACCACCCAAGGGATAAGATTTAAGTTTACAGACTTAAAATTATGAAAGAATAATTGAGTAATATATATTATTTTTTAGAGTGACATTAAATTTTTACAAGATACATTTGAGATCATTATAATATCAAAGCTTTATCTGATTTCTTTTGAATAGTGATCTCTTTTAACTTTTAATTTGACAGGCATTACATGTGTCATATGAGGCCAATTAGATTTTATTTTAAAGTCAAATTTTATTCTGTAAATAGAAGTAACCCAGTGGTTATATTATTGTAATAGAGTAAATAAATTTTAAAGAGAGTGTTAGTTCAATGTTTTTCTGTGTATGCTTCCTCATGCTGTTTTTCTTTACTCATTCCACAAAAAGTAAACATACCCACCATTTATTGAGGTCTTATCATGGGCCAGGCACTGTGCTAGATGTTTTACGTGCATTATCTAACCTTTACGAGTAACTTTTGGAAAGGTGGTGCAGTTATCCTTGCGAGCACAGGCACACAGACGGAGAGATGGGGTCAGTGCGCCGGTGCCTCCCTGAGTCCAGGGCCGGCGGGGAGCCCCCTCCTGCTGCACGGCGTGTGGGTAGATTACCTCCTCCAGCCAGGGGCTGCCGTTATCCTCCTGAAAGCTGTTGGTTGTGGGCGTTTCTGTTACTACTCGGTGTCCTCTGGGGAACAGCAGTGTTTTATCACTTAAGTGTTCGTTAAAAATACAAGATTTCAGGACCTATTAAGTCAGAGTCTGCACTTTAATGAAATTCCCCAAAGTTTGAAAAGTGCTGAGCTAGTCCATTTACAAAATAAATTGTTGATGGTACTTCCTTGGTCTGGGGTGGAATGCTCTGCCTGTCTGCCAGCAAGAGCTGGCATGTGACAAAATGAGTGGTAAATAGAGAATGGGAAAAAAACTGCAAACAGGCCTGTATTTCCAGAGCTAGTTTTCTTTAATAACACATTTGTGTGTGGTTATAACTTTATAGTGTGCAGAAGTTGAGTACTTACATATTCTGTTATCAGAATCACAGTATATCCTACCTCAGTGCCTTAGCTGCTGCTCGATGAAAAAACGTGAGCTCCTTGAGGGCAGCAAGTGTGGTATCCATCTGTCTCTGCACGATGCAGAACTGGAATGCAGTAGAATGAGTAGTTTGTGTGATAAAATTCAGTCTTCTGAAGCCTGGGGCTCTGCAGGTGCTTCCAGGAGCTTGGTAACTGGGGCAGATCTGAGAACCACTGTTTTTATCCCTCCAATTTACAGACTGCTTCTCATTTCAGAGCTGAGGGGAGTAGTAAAATCCAAGCCCGGATGGAGCAGCAGCCCCCGCGACCCCCACAGCAATCCCAGCCGCCGCCGCCGCCACCACCGATACCGTTCAGAGCACCAACGAAGCCTCCGGCTGGACCCAAAACCTCTCCCTTGAAGGATAACCCCTCACCTGAACCTCAGCTGGATGACATCAAAAGAGGTAGAGAGCAGTTTCTGGAGCCCCAGTAGCAGCTTGGAGGAGGGCATTGATGTTTCTGTGGAGGCAAGGGGCTGGCAGCATGGGCGTTCTGCCACTAGCAGTTTCTGAAGGGGTCACAGTTCCAGAGGTGGTGGGTGTGCGGGGGTTACCACTCACCTCGTTTGATAAGGGGGAGTTCAGTGGCTTGAGCTCTGGCTGTCTTTTCAGCGGTCTGCTTAGAGGCCCGGGGTGTAAACAAGCCTGACTACCATCTGAAGGTCCATATGGCACAGCTTTAAGCCTTTGGGAGAAGAGAATTCCTGGTGCTGGGGGTGAGAACCAAGTGTGCCGATGTAAATAGCGTGTGCAGGTCAGATTCCTCAGCCAGTGCTTTGCACTGACAACAGGTGTGACGTGGGAGAGCTCCTTGAGGACCAGTGGCCTCCGAGCACTTAGCTGTATGGTCAGGCTCTCTCCAGTGCACGCCTGAGGCAGAGCTCACCATGGTTTTCTCCCCCACACGGTGGATGGTTTTAGTTGTCCAGACTGTTAGGAAGTTACGAAGGTAAGTGTTGTATTTCATATTTGTGAAGTTTTATGAAATAAAATTAAACCCATAACAGCAGTAAACAGGAAAAGATACAAAGTTGGCCTTGGGAAATTTGCCTTTTCCACCTTGTGGAAATACTGTCTTTTTGCAAATGAGATCACTCTGTGTGTGGGCACAGTTGTTCAGCATCTGGATTTTGTTTTTCCTCGTGGAGATTGGTATGCGCTCTGTGGACGTTGTCACTTTAGCTGAATAGGAATTGGGCCATATGAGTGGTTGCTTGTTGCCATTTATGCTTAAAGGAACCATACTCATTTAAGGTCTCGTGGTGTGTTTGGACAGGTGAATCTGGCATCTTCCTCGATGTGTTCTGTGGTGGATTCTTAATATGCTCACAGACACTGAAGTGGTCGGGTAAAACGTGTTCCTTTCCTGCTTTATGTTTAATACAAACACAGCACCTAAAGGCATGGCTGTCCGTCAAATGTGTAAAGAGGACAGAGGAGGAAGAGAAAGATGTTCTTCAGCAGCCTTGGCCCCTGCTGTGAGCCTCGTGGGCCATGCGAGCTGGAAAGGACCCCAGAGGTCGTCTGCTCTGGCCTCCCTCTTTCCAGAGCATCCTGGAATATTCATTGCCTTCCACCTGGGTCTCCCAGCTGGCTGGACATGGATCCAAAGCAAGTGCTCAGACCTTCCAGTTCCTGGTCAGATACTTCTCAGTCCCTGAGCAGAATATTTCTCTTCTCCTAGTTGGTGTTTAATCCTGTCATTCACAGTCTTTTTTTTTTCTTTTTCTATTTTTTAAGTAGATAAGGCCAAACAGACTTAACTTCATTTCGTAAAAGAATCGTTATCTTGAACCAGTGTGCGTTTTGAGTACTTTGGGTGAATTAAGTGTTTCCATTGTTAGGCGTTTTTGTTTGTTGGTTTGGGTCGTTTTGTTTGGTTTTGAGGGCTGGAGAGGTAGGAGCTCATCTTAGGTACCATCGTTGCTCTGGGTTTTGCTCCTGCCCTGCATGTGGCAAGCTCGATGCGCTGACCCCGCCCTGTCGTCTATTCTAGAGCTGAGGGCCGAGGTGGACATCATCGAGCAGATGAGCAGCAGCAGCGGGAGTAGCTCCTCGGACTCTGAGAGCTCCTCGGGGAGCGACGACGACAGCTCCAGCAGCGGCGGCGAGGACAGCGGCCCCGCGTCGCCCCCGCAGCCCTACGGCGGCCGGCCAGCCGTGGCCAACGGGACCGGAGCCCCTCGGCCGCCAGGGAACACGCAGCTCATGAGCACCCTCAGTGAGTGCGCCTTCCCGCTGTTGGCTGGGGCAGAGCTGGGAGGGCTGGTCGGATTGGTGGCTTCTCTCTGTCTTACGCCAGAGTCTGTAAACCTGAAGATATTTACGGCGTAAGAAAGGGTCCTGCAAAGACAGTTTGAAGCAGAAAGGAGCAAGTCCCCAAGCAGTAAAAAACAGGAAGCGCAAAACTAAAAATTGGTTCCTTCTCTTGGCACAAGTTAAATTTTGTGGATTCTGGGAAGTGCTGATGTGTGAGTGGCAGGGCTCTCTGTTTGCGTATCCCAGGTTTTAAGGGCCCTGCCTGCCCCCAGGCAGGTCTTTGTCTGGTCCTGAAAGCCCAGTGCCAGCAGACTGCAGGGTCCCACCACCACAGAGGGGGGCGCGTGCCCCTAGGATGTGTTTGGAGCCAGCCGACCTTGGGCAGGAGGGAAGGAAGGGACACTGTGGTGTCTGGTGGCCTTCGGCACAGTTGGTGGTGATAAGGCAGAGGGCACCGAGAGCAACCGTCTTCGTCTTGGAGGCGGGATGGCGTGGGTTGTGTGCTGTCCTCTCGCCAGAGTCCCTGGAGCCGGGTGTCCTCCTGGGCTGACTTCGGGAGGTGTCCTAACCCTGCTCTCTGGGGCAGGCAGAGTTGCTCTCAGCTCCACACTGTAGACATCTAACAGGCCCCTTGTGTGGGGCCGGCCTTGTAGGCCTCTGCCCGCTAGGGGCCAGAGCACTCCTCTGCCCACCCCAGCACACACACACACTCCCGTATGTGCTGGGCCATACTCTCCTACCTAAGTGAGTTCAGCACTGTTATGACGCCAGTGAAGGCTGTCTTCTGCCATCTCACGATACAAGCTGAGCTTCTGGATTTCAGGTATACTTAGCGCCCTTCCCCGTTGGTTCAGGATACTAAGTTTTACACTGGGCGTCTGGTATTCATACTGGAGAATGACCACAGCTCTGTGACTGTGTAACTCAGCTCTTCGTTTTACCCAGTCAGTGCTAAACTTCCTTTCCTTCCAGAAAGTAAGAGCCAAAAATGGCTCAGTGCATGTTACTTACCTACCAGTGCCTTAAACTCTTTTTTAGCTCTTTATGGCTCTTTATTAGCTTTCCTGGCTCACAGCTTTTCCAATGGCAAGACCTTAATCTTGGCATACCACATATACAATTAAGTACTGAAGTTACTTAAACCAGGATTGTCAACCAGAACCAACTCACAAACCCTAAAGTCACAGTAAATAGCACAAATCTCCTAAACCCTAATGTGAAAACATACAGAGTGATAATATTGTTTTCCTCGATGGTAGCATGCATTATATCTTTTCCCCCAAAAAACAAATGGATCAGTTTGAACCTAGGTCAAATAAACTGTTAAGAAATCTCAGAACTGAGTCTTCAGCTCCCTTAGGCTGAGCTGTTGACACGCACATCGCCTTCTTCGTGAAGATGGTGCTCGGCTCTTCTGATGGGGTACTCGCTGGCCCCGGGCCTTCTCCCCTCGTCTGGAACAGCAGAGGCCCCTTGACTGGCCGCAGCCTCTTTATGTCGTAAGAACTGTTGAGAACCCTGAGGAGCGTTTACCTTTGTAGCTTGTGTCAGTGCTCACCACGTTAGAAATAAAACTGAGAAATGCTTAGAATACTCAGTGATTCATCTGAAAAAAAGGACAATCAGCCACACAATAGTAAAAATGACACTTTTATGAAAAATTTTCTAAATAAAAAAATATTCAGTGTGAAGAGTAATGTTGCCTTAAAATTTTGCAAGTCTCTTTAACTGGCATAGTGCAAAGTAGGGAGTCTTAGATCTGCTTCTGCATTCAGCCTTGCCATCAGTTGTGTAGGTTGAAGTCTAGGAAGAAAATCTGGCATCACAAAGGTTTCTAGTTAGAAAAGGGAGGACCTTAGGTTGAAGTGTTCTGAAAGGGCCTCAGGGACCCTGGTCTTGAGAACACATTGAGAGGAGATGGCCTAGAGATCAGGGATGCAGAAATGTAGAAGTTCACTTTTGTTCTATTCCAGGTGGTATCAGCTGGGGTCCTGTTATTCTTCTTCTTCTTTTAGATGGAAAAGCTTTACATTCTTCACTCCTAAACCTAGATGTTGCACGCTGAACAAAATTTAAGGTTTTACAGAGCTCAGTAATTCAGGTCTGAAGTGTAAAATAATGTGACTGTTCCAGCCAGAGGGGCTGGGTGTGTGTTTATGCTGCATTAACATATTATTGGCATAAACAGAATTTAGCTGCCTGACCAGGAAACCCAACTGGGTATTATTATTTTTGCTTTTATAGAGAAACTTGATATGAACAATTCTACAAGATAGTGAATTTGTAACTAGCTAGTTATAAGTATCTTTTGTTATTTATTGAGACCTGTAAGCACTGTGTATCCAATCCTTCCCTGTTCTGCCCCAGTGTGCAATGTTGCTGTACTTTGCAGATGCAAAAATAGCAATTCTTTTAAAATGTTGACTGTACCAGTTTTGTGGCCGAGCCGAATCAGTTTTCCTCCATAATTAAACTGAACCAACCTGGTGTTACTGGAGCGTGAGAGCCCAGAGAGTCAGCCAAAGAACCACAGGGGAGTCGTTTTTAAGCTGTGTCCTTTTGGTCTGATTCTGTTTTCTCTTTATAGGAAATGACTTGCAGTTGAGCGAGTCTGGCAGTGACAGTGATGACTAGAGCCGGACCTTTTGAAATCAACGTTTTGGTGCACCAATCTGCCGCGAGACCAGGCTGTTTTAGCGTGGCGTCCACACGGAGAGGAAAACGTGGGGACCGTGGCTCTAGGAGGGATTGGGGGCTCAGAAGTGCTCAGATGTGCATGCCTTTAACTTAGCGGTGATGGGTGATTTTCTCATGCGACTTTTGAACAATCTCAACCTTTCAAAGTTTTAAGTAGATCTATAGCAGAACTAACGGAATTGTATCTCTGTTTGGTTAACGCTGTTAATGGAAACCAGACAAGCTTGCCCTGGTCTAGGTTCCTCCGAGGTCACTTCTCCTGGCCAGTGTTTCACTTTCTAACCTCAGCAGCCACCAGCGTGGCCAAGTGGCTTGCCCCAGTGAAAGGAAGCTCAGTCTCTGACGGATAGGGGGAGAGGGCAGCCTGCAACCCCGGCACGGAAGCATGTTCCAACCACTTCCAGTTACAGACCCGCGGCGGTGAGGAAGTTCTGTCTGACCCAGCCTGGCTGGCCTGTGTGGAAATGGACTTCAGGATGGGGTAGTAGAGCGTCAGCGGGGGGACCTGGATCATGGCTCAGCCCCACGTCTGCAGATGAGGAAGGGACAGGCCTGGCTGGTGTGGGGCCAGTGTCTTGCCCCAGGCCAGGCCTTCCTACTGCTCCCACCCCTGAATCTCTTATTGGAACCAGAGTCTTGTCCATGGGCCTGTGTAAGAGCTGTGTTGTGCATTAGAGCTTTTCCTGGATTCCAAAAGATAGGAGTGTGGGCTCCTTCTAGCTCCAGTTTAGATCCATACAGTCCCTGAATACATCAGTCCCTCATGAGGTGAGTGGGGGAGCAAATGAAGCCAGCAGCCATGGTGCTGATGCACGTGACTCGCTTAATTAAACTGGGGCTTTCAGCTCCGTGTGGATCCATAACAAGAGGGCTTCTCTCGGAGGCTGCCAGTGGGGGAGTGGGACGGCTGAGGTGAGGAGGCCTCTGGGCACACGCTATCCAGACCGGGGTCCGGGTAGGAGGCGTGCAGTGTGCAATGAGCAGGCGTTGGCAGGGCTCCCCAGTTGCTTTTGCACCGCTGCTCCCAAGCAGACTCGTTTTTTACATGCAACCAGAAGAAAGTCACGGGATTGCCTTCTGCGGTGTGCCCTCTCCAGATGAATCTGTCGTTGCGGGAAACCGGTCATTAGGAAGCGTTCCGTACACAGCAGACGTAATAAGGTGTCCCACAATTAGTGCATTAGCTTGGAGTCGCCCATTCTGGCGTTTGAATGACTACGCCCTGAGAAATTGTGTCTGCTTCGATTCAGCGTTGTTGAGAACTGAAGACTGACCTTCCCCCCTCTGGGTGGCCTCTCCTTGGCTAGTGGAGGGAAGCAGCCTGGACCCAGGAGGAAGCTCGGTGACCGGTGGCAGGGGCTTTGAGTTGAGCCTCACAAAGTCACCTGTGTCCCCCGCGCGGTGGCCCCAGTTAGCTGGAGCAGGGCCAGGCAGCCTGCTCATGCCGCTCCTCCAGCTGTGCTTGGGGTCAGGCTGGTGCCTGCGCCGGGTCCTCCACCCGTCATGGGGCTTCGTGGAGTTCATGGCAGGTAGGAACTTCCTTATAATGAATTGATTGCTTTTAATTTATTGGTAATGACAGCTCAGGGAAGCTGAAGGTCATGGTTGCGTGTGTGAGTCGCTCACTCATGTCTGACTCTTTGCGACTGCATGGACTGTAACTCGCCAGGCTTCTCTGTCCATAGGATTCTCCAGCAAGAATACCGGAGTGGGTTGCCATTTCCTTCTCCAGGGGATCTTCCCGAGTGAGGGATCAAAGCCAGGTCTCCTGCACTGCAGGTGGATGTCTTCCCGTCCGAGCTACTAGGGAAGCCCGGAGGTGATGGTTGGGAGACTTGGATTGTTTCTAGACGTGGGAATTGTTTCACCGCTCTTCGCTTGCTCAAGCTGGGGCAGGTACCAGGAACTTGGACTAAAGATGGATCTATTTAAGCCTCTCTCCCTCGTTTCCTCCCGTCAGGCTTGACGTGTGTGGCCAGCCCGGGGTCTGGGCCCGTCCAGTGCCTGCTGGTGTCTGGGCAGCGCTTGCCGGTGGCCTGGGCCTGGGGGGTGGGCTCTGCAGGCCTGTCACAGCTGCAGGCCCAGCCCTGGTTCTGTTCTCCGCACAGCCTGTGCCTGTTGCTTCTGCAAGCCCTCCAGCTTTGCCCGGCAGAGTAAGGAATCCTTGCTTGTTGGAAATGAAGCCTCCAGCCTCACAGACTCCCCCTCACGAGTGCCCTCCTGCCAGCCAAGCTGGACCTGTTCTTCCTGCCTCTGTGCCTTGTCAGCCGCCTGCCCCAGCCCCGCTCACGGGGCTCTGTGGGTGCCGCCAGCCGGAGTGCCATGCATCCACACGGACCTTCCCCTTGCCCAGTGCTGGTCAGCGCGGGCCCCAAGCAGGCCCTGTGGTTCTCTGCTCTCTTCCCTGGAGCGCGCAGGAGCAGACTGGAGAGACTCATGGCCTGGCGGGAAGGGCAGAGAACCACAGGGGACACTCCGGGCCTCCGGAGACAGCTGGAGACTCTTCACGCCGGCTGTCCTGGTTTCAAAGTCTGACCGAAGCATTAAAACGGCCTTTCATTTGTTCTGTGTACCATCTGTCACTGTGGGTGCAGTGAGGTGTGAAGGCTTAAGTCCAAAGCACATGAGGAGCCATGGCAAGCAAGCCGCCGTACAGGCGTGATTCGGGGAAACGTAACAAACTAGAGATGTGTCATGATGCCACTCATTAATTCTTTTATTTCTGTAGCAGAATCATTTTTTTAAAGTGTGGTTTTAATGTGTATGTGTTTCAGTGGTGGGAAAACTTGAAAATTCCAAGATCCTTATTACTTCCCTATTTGAGAGGCTGGTTAAGTAGGGTGTGTGTGTGGGGGGGTGTGCATGTGATGTATTTATTACACTATTCTGAAAGAGTAATTGTTATGTGGATATACATTAGGTACAGCCAAATTGTATGTTTCCATTTGGTGAGGAAGGTAGGATCCATAAAACTCAGGCCTTAACCAGTAGGTTGGACGACAAGACCAATTGAAATGTCATGAAATGTCTTTGTTGCTCCTGTTATTTCTGTCTTGATTTAATTGTCTCGTTCTTTAATGATTATTAAAATCTTGTGCCTGAAAGTTTATTTTGCTTAATTATGAAGTAGACATGCATGTTTATATTTATGCAAAATATTTGCTGTAAAGGTTTTTTTTTTTGGTTTACTCTTTTTAAAAAATCACTATATTTAAGTAAAAAATGAAGGTCAGCAATATACATGTCTCGCGTTTTCTTTTTTTACTAGAAATCAATCTAGGAGTCAATGAAAAATGTAGAGTTCTTTTAAGAATCATTTGTGCTTAAGACTAATTATTTAAATTGATACCCTTTTTCATTTGTTGTTTCTCATTGTTAGGATTTACACTTCCGTTTTAAAATGCGTGAAGATCAGAACTGAAGGATGACTGTAGCAAGCCGCATGGTGTCTGAGGCCGTACTGGGTCTGAGAACCCTGGGGGCGTTAAACTGATTCCCTAGACGTGTCTCCTAGTCATTTTAGCTCACCTGGACCGCCACACTACACAGAGGGCCTACGTACACCCCTGACCCCCAGTCGACACTATTTGGGCGTGATCCCACCGCCTCCTTGCGTCCCTCACCTGGGCTGCAGCAGCACCTGCACCTGTCTGGGGGTCTCGATGCCCCTGACAACTCCTAGGCTGGAAGTGACCACATTCCTTTTCAATTCGCTGGTGTCTTCAATCTGTTGGGTGCTCGGTAGATTTGGGCTGAATACAGTTACACACTCAGGGAACAAGGATGGGAATCCCCAGCCGCTTACCCTGCAGGTATCCCCCACGCCTTCAGGTAGACGCTGGAGACGAGCCCGGACTCCCGGGAGTGGCGGGGCGGGGCCGTCACCTAAGGGATTCTGATCCTCAGTGAACTGTTACTGTTACAGCAGTAGATAACAAATCATCCCAAAGCCAGACGCTTAAGATAGTGAGTGTTCATTTTGCAATTTAGACCGGATCTGGCTGGACGGTTCTGGTTTTGACTCCTTCCTGTGCCTGGGGTCTGACAGGTTTGGCCGATCTGGGGTGACCTCGGCCCATGCAGCGCAGGCCGCTCAGGTCAGCTCCATGTCCCGTCATCCAGCGGCCGGGCCCGGGCACGTGGCCATGGCAGGGGCAGGGGCGCTGGACGTCACGACTGCTGATACCTCATTGGGCAAAGGAGGTCACCGGGCCGAGTTCAGGATCGAGGGCGTGGTGGGTACAGACACTAAAGCAGCCCCCGGAGGAAAGGCGGGCTTCACTGGGCCCCGGGAGCGGTGGCAGTTATTGGGCAGTTACTGCCATCATTCTCCCTCCGTGTGCTGTGTCTCCAGCTGGGCTGGGAACCTTGGACCACAGGATCGTCAAGGCTGCTCGGGGCTCTGGCTTTTCTCCTGGCCGGATGGGTGGAGGAGAGGCCAGAGGAGCTGACAGATCTGAATTGATCCATGCAGAGGGCGCCAAGTGCAGGCCGCGGGCTCCCTTAGGGCCCCGTCCATTCACTGCGTGCGGTTTGCTAACCTACCCTTTGCAACCCAGAGCGCCATGCTGGTTACCCATTGCTAAGTAACAAATTGACCCAAAAGTTTGTGGCTTAAAAAGATCACCGTTTCATATGATGGAATCTTTTAGTTAAGAATTAGGACAGAGCTGCGCTGGGCAATTCTGCTTCCTGTGGCTTCAACTGATGTCAGTCGGCAGATGGACAGGCCCGGCTTCTCTCCCGTGTCTGGCCCGTGGCGGGGTTGGCTGGAAGCAGGCTTGTTTGGGGCCACACCTGGCCTCTCTAGCAAAGCAGGCTCAGGGAGTGTGTCATCTTTTAACGCTGGCTGCTTCCCCTAGGACGTGTGTTCTGAGGATCTGTGTGGTCTCTCATGACCTGGCCCCGAAGGCACACCGCCACAGTGTTCTATTGATCAGAGCCGTCAAAGGCTCACCGAGATTCAAGAGGAAGGGACACAGACGCGTCCCCCTTCAGTGAATGAAAGAGCCACCCACTCGGGGGTCCCCAGCTGTCTTCCCTGTTTGTGGCCTTGTCTGCTTTGGCCTCTAGAATCACTGCGGATAGTGACTGCAGCCATGAAATTAAAAGATGCTTACTCCTTGGAAGGAAAGTTATCACCAACCTAGACAGCATATTATGGAGAAGGAAATGGCAGCCAACTCCAGTATTCTTGCCAGGAGAATCCCAGGGACAGAGGAGCCTGGTAGGCTGCCATCTATGGGGTTGCACAGAATCGGACACAACTGAAGCGACTTAGCAGCAGCAGCAGCAGACAGCATATTAAAAAGCAGAGACATTACTTTGCCAACAAAGGTCCGTCTGGTCAAGGCTGTGGTTTTTCCAGTGGTCATGTATGGATGTGAGAGCTGGACCATAAAGAAAGCTGAGCACCGAAAAGTTGATGCTTTTGAACTGTGGTGGTGGAGAAGAATCTCGAGAGTCCCTTGGACTGCAAGGAGATCCAACCAGTCCATCCTACAGGAGATCAGTCCTGGGTGTTCATTGGAAGGACTGATGCTGAAGCTCAAGCTCCAATACTTTGCCCACTTCATGGGAGGAGCTGACTCATTCATTGGAAAAGACCCTGATGCTGGGAAAGATTGAAGGCAGGAGGAGAAGGGGACGACAGAGGATGAGATGGTTGGATGGCATCACTGACTCAATGGACATGAGTCTGAATAAACTCCGGGAGTTGGTGATGGACAGGGAGGCCTGGCGTGCTATAGTCCATGGGGTCGCAAAGAGTCAGACACGACTGAGCGACTTAACTGAACTGACCTGAACTTCTGTGGTGGTTCTCAGGTAAGACATCTACCCAGGGCAGGCTCCTAGGTCCCCCATCCAGCAGCATCAGCAACCCCTGGGACCTTGCTAGAGGCCCGAATTGTCACACCCCAGACCTGCTGGGTCAGAATGACCAGCCCTTCAGCTCATTCTGACGAACCCTAAATCTTGAGAACCACCGCCCCAGGACATAGCTCCCTTGGTGAGCCTCGGTGATGACCCGTGACCACGATGACCACCGGGAACTTCCCTTGTAGGTGTTGGATGAAGGTGACTAGGGCTGGGGCGCCCATGAAGCGTGGTATGTACTGTTTACAGGTTGGAACACTGAAGATGAAATTCATCATGGCCCTTGAATTGACCAGGGGCAGAATTTCACGGTGGTGTGGGCTCCTTTCCCTTGCTGTGAGGGGACTGGGTCAGGCAGGGAAGAGAGGCAGGGGAAATGGCTGGTTTGGTAAGGTTGTTTCTTAGAGGCTTGTCTAAAAGTCAGCTGCCCGGGGCCGAAAGGAACTCAGGTGAGCCCCCCAGAGAGAAAGCCCCTCTTATAAAGGCAGTGTGCATCCTTTTCCTCTGTTTCTTGGAGGGGTTGGGTGTTGGATGATGTGACAGGTGTGTATGTGTGCTTAATCGCTCAGTCTTGTCTGACTCTACGACCCCGTGGACTGTAGCCTGCCAGGCTCCTCTGTCCATGGGATCCTCCAGGCAAGAATACTGGAGTGGGTTGCCATGTCCTCCCTCCTCCAGGAGATCTTCCCAACCCAGGGGTTGCACCCAGGTCTTGCACATTGCAGGCCGATTCTTTGCTGTCTGAGCCACCAGGAAAGCCCAATTCATCACTCCTGTGTGATGTGTAGTGTGCCCCCACCCCGCCGCCACCCCCCGCCACCAGGAGATGTGGGTGGGGGACCAGCCCACACCCTGGAGCCTCTGCGTCCGTGGTGGTAGCTGGGCTGCTGTAACAGTCTCCTTGGTGAGTCGCCAAGGTCCTCGAGCTGGGCACTAATTGTTATCACACAGAGGGAAGATCTGAGTTTCCTTGAAAGTTTAAATCGGTTCCCTCCGCTCTAGGGGAGGGCTGCGGTGGACAACCCAAGTAACGCAGTCATTGGGGTTGGCTCGTTAATTGTAACGGAGTGTGGAGAGCTAAGCAGTTTGACCCATGGGTGCCCTGCACACGGCTCCCGGTGATGGATGACAGGTGTGTCTGCCCCAAGGCGCTCAGAAGTTTCATCCTGCCCTCTTCCCAAGCCCTGGCTCTTCTGTCCTCGCTACCAAGTTTCCTGCAGAGACTGCTTACCAATATGTTACTCCAACAACTTTGCAAAGTGGATACAGGAGTCCTGGGGCCAAACCCCATCCCCACACTTCCTTAGTGATGATGGGCATGCCTGGACTGGCCTAGGGAATCCCAGCCAGCGGAGCTTGGGCTCCATTACTGGTGAAAGAGTAAAAAGCCAGTTCAGACTAGGAAAGCGCAAGTCAGCCCCATGTCCCGTTCGCAGACAGCAGGCCCAACCACAGGTAACTGCAGAGTTAGCAGGAAGCAATCTGTCCCCAGGTCACCGCGGCTCTGAAGGGTCATCATCACGCCTTTCTCGCCTCTGGCCTTCTTTCCAGTGACATCCCCAGCCTCACCTTGTCACTCCTGCCACCTGCGCAGAAATCACCATGGAACTTTGAGACTAAAATCATGGGCTGTCAAAACTTTGCAGTCTGTAAGCCTGTCGGTAAGTCAGGAAGCTTATTATGCAGAGTGAAGTAAGGCAGAAAGAAAAAGACCAGTACTGTCTATTAACGCATATATACAGAATTTAGAAAGATGGTACTGACGATCCTACATGTAAGGCAGCAAAGGAGACACAGATGTAAAGAACAGGCTTTTGGACTCAGTGGGAGAAGGCGAGTGTGGGATGATTCGAGAGAATAGCATTAAAACATGTACATTACCATATGTGAAATAGATGACCAGGGCAAGTTTGATACATGAAGCAGGACATGCAAAGCCAGTGCTCTGGGACAACCCAGAGGGATGGGGTGGGGAGGGAGGTGGGACGGGGGTTCAGGATCGGGGGACACATACCTGCGGCTGATTCATGCTGATGTACGGCAAAAACCATCACAATATTGCAAAGGAATTATTCTCCATTAATTTTAAAATGAAAAAAAAAGAAAAGGAATGTCCCATTTTTGCCTGGAAGACCTGAGCTATGTGCACCCCTTCAGCAGAGAAGCAGTTTCAGTTTCCACCCTAGATGTAGCGCCTCTGAGAGAGGTTTTCAGGAACAACATGCCGAGTTTTTCGTAACTTTATAGTTTTCCACCATTCGAATCAGGACCCAGGCCTACCTGACAGTCCAGGCTCGATGTCGATGCCTTTGCTTTGCACTGTCCAAGCCAACTTCATTTACATTCTGTTTATCTACCCCTGCCCCCAACTCAATCCTCTCATTATCTTATTTTTCCTGATTTGATGAGAGACCCCATTGTTCCTGGGGTGTTTGATCTCCTACAAGTGAGTAAACCTTGTTGCTCTACCGGTCCCTCCCTGGGATGTTTGTTGGGTAAGCTGTGTGCAGCAGAATTTGAGAACCACTGAAGATCCCCTGGAGAAGGAAATGGCAACCCACTCCCGTATCCGTGCCTGGAAAATCTCATGCACAGAGGAGCCTGGTGGGCTGCAGTCCGTGGGGCCGCAGAGTCGGGCATGACTGAGCGACTAACATGCATTCGTGCTCTTTCAATGCTTTGCAGCAAAGGCTGTGGTCCAGACTACTGTCAAAAAGGAGCTCATAACCAGCATCAAAGAGGGAAGAATTACTTGGGTCCCCAAAGAGAGGACTGATTCAGCCCAAGTCACTAAACAATAATAACAGAAGAAATTCAACAAGTTCGTAACAGTTTCCAGATGTCCAAAAGTATAAGCATGTCATCTCTGAAATGCAGCACAACGCTGAATAAGGTACGATTATTCCCAGTACGTGGGCTTCTCAGGTGGCTCAGTGGTAAAGAATCTCCTTGCAATTCAGTAGATGCAGGTTCAATAGCTGAGTCAGGGTGATCATCTGGAGAAGGAGATGGAAGTCACTCCAGGGTTTTTCCCCTGGAAATCCCATAGGCAGAAGAGCCTGGCGGGCTACAGTCCCGTGAGGCCACAGAGAGCTGGACACGACTTAGCAACGAAACAACAATTCCCAGGTGAGAACTGAGACTCAGATGAGAAAGCAGAGACTCAGAGACATTAGGCAAATTAAGCAGGATAGTTAAAGAGTGCGTTGGTGACAGAGCCAGGGTTCAAATCCAGATTTGTGCATCTAAGTCCTCTGGGTTTTTTCACGAGCTACACCACATCTTTCAGGACTGGCCTCACCCTCAGAGAGCCAACCTTTCCAAGTAGACCCATCAAACCAAGCCAGAGTCTTTGGAGGGGAGTGCCGCCAAGTGTTCACCCCAGGTGGCTCAAGGAAAAGCAAATCTGGAGAGATGGCCCCTGTAATGGACCTGTGTACTCAGCCCTCAGTAGCTCCATTCCTGCTCCCCGATACCCAGTCCAGCAGCCACCCCCTCCCTGCACAGCCTGTGTGCTTCTGGAGAATTCCCAGGGTGTGGGCTAAGGGTAATCTTAAAACCTTTGCCATCCTGCATTCAGGAACCCAACTATGATCTGATCAGAAGGCAGCTTTTTTTTCTGATAATAGGAATTGGTTCAAGAATGGGCGTGTCAACAAGACTCAGGTCAACAAGACTCAAGGCAAGGTTTTTCCGGGGGCTCCTGGGGGAAAAAAATCAAAGTTCTTGAGGGCCACTGGAATAGACGTTCTGTCTTCCTGTGGACATTGGGAAGGTGCAGATGTCAGCCTGAAGCTGGAGGGGTCAGCTTGTGGCCACCCTAAGGCTCGCATGGACAAGAGAGGTGCAAAGAGCTGAGAGGACAGATCAAGCAAAGAGTTGGAGCAGGAGCCTTGACTGAACTTTGCCTGATCTCCAATCCACTCCCAGAACTTGCATCGGTGATCTGAGCCAATAAATTCTACCCTACGGTTTATATGAAAGTTGGATTTTCTGCTACTTGCCAGCAAAAGCATTTGGACTGACACAGCCTCCTTTGGCGATCGTATTCTGAAGGCCCTGCCATTCTCAACCACCTCTGCCTGACAGCTGAGAGTAGCTAAAATCCATCACCCGTCTGAGAACTGGCCCTGAAACACCCGAGGGCAGAGTCCACCCCCAGAAATCAGCAGGTGGAGCTGGAGGGGAAAGTCAGCCTCTGTCTCACCTCTCTTGGGGAAGGAAACTGAGGCTGTGGGAAGTGATGGACCAGGCGTGAATCAGGCACGGGGGTCTCCCAGCTCAGCGCTCTCCCAGCCCCGCTGCCCCAGTTCAGCTCCTTGCACGAGCAGCAGACGACCCAGGGGGGTGTTCCTGCGGCGGCCGGGGGCCCCCTGCCCCTGGGGAAGCGGTCCCCTAACACGGCAGAGCTGGCATTCACGGGGGCCCAGGGCCCACCTTCCCTGAGCTTTCATCTTCCCATTTCAGAGCCCTGAAGGGGTAGGACGACTCTACGGATCGATCGTCTTAACACCTGTGACCTTGAATCCTCTCCTGAGCCTTTCAGAACTCTCCCTAGAAATATCAGAGCTGGAGGCAGCCCCACCCCCCCCCATACTGTGCGGTGCCGGATCTGGAGCATAGATGGGGGCTCCCACACAAAAGGAGTATCTACATGAAGATCAGACACAAACTTACAGGTTAAGTAGGTTCTGCTTACCCGACGAATACCACTTCATAAAGACCTAGAACTGTTAGATTCCTCACAGTCTCCCATAGCCCCACAAGGAGAGCAGTCACCAACCTCACCCCAGCCAGTCTCACCCCAGCCAATCTCACCCCAGGATGTGTGCCCATGTGGAGACCTAGCCTGCATGTCCCAGCTCCATCGATAACCCCTGCAGACAGCCTGTCCCCGGCCACCCCCCCACCCCCATCCCACGCTGACAGGTGTGTGCAAGCCACACTCAGGAGGACAGGCGTGCAGAGAGGGCCATGCAGCCCTGGAAAGGGGCTCAGGACCACTCAGGTGGGGAGCAGGCTGTCCTGGTACCTGCAGCGTGGGGTGTGCAAGTGTCACTGCGGCTTTGGGAGGCTTACAGCCAGAAGAAAGCCAGAACAGTGCCCTCTGAGGACTGGGACCCAGGACGTGGCCCGCCCTGGCCAGCTCCGAGGGCAGTATTGGACCTGCATTCTTTCCTACCAGAGATGGTAAAACCAGGCTGGGGGCAGGGCTGGCTGAGCAAGACTGGGCTGGGTTGGGCATGGTGACCTTGGACATGAGTTTCCTTTCTTGGACATTGGTTGTCCCTGGGGGGAGCAGAACTGCTTCCCATTCTAGAACCCTCTGTGGAGTCTGGGAAGCAGACTTGATTTCAGAGCCCTCATTCAATCCAGGAGTTCTAGGACAGCAGCCCAAACCCCCAGGGAAGAGAGAGCCACAGCTGGTAAGTACACGGCCTTTTATTTCTTGGTTTCACATCCGAAGACGCCGGGATGAAGGCGGTGGCTTCACATGGGGACAGACGTGGGCCATGGACTATCAGTCAGCCCAGGACTTGCAATAGAGGCAGAAGGACCCAGACTGACCAACACGTCCACCTCCGGGGACACCACCCTGGGGTTCAGCCCGCCCACAACAGGCCAGCAGCACAACGCCAAGCGCCCAGGACGCGCGAAGGCTGAACAGTCTGTACACACCGGCGGGAGGGTCCATCCATCTGGGAGCAAACAGGTCCATGAGGTCTGCGGTGGGGAAGACGTGTCTCCCAACAATAAGCTAAGCCCCACTCAGGAGAAACGACGGTGGAAGGCAGCTCAGGGACGCGCAGGACTAGCGATCCTGTAGAAACCAGGCTCAGGCGCGCGCTCACGAGGTCAAACGCACGCGCCACGCAGACCGGGAGGGAGGTCCCAGGGCTCCCGGAGCGTTGCCGGGACAGACAGACGCCGGCGCGGCCCACAGCTCGAAGTCGGTGGCGCGGCCCGGACGGGAAAGCCCGACGGTGCGGCTGCTGGTGCAGGGATGCGCCAGCATCCCTGAAGGAGGGATGGACACGGGGACGTTCACAGGACGGAGGCCGCGCGCGCAGAGCCAGGGGAGGTCAGGAAGGCGCCCGGAATGGAAGCTCTGAGAGCCGCCCCTTCGGAAACGTCGAGAAGGCCGATGCGCTGCGCTCATCAGCCTTGCTGCAGAACGCGGGTGGGCCGCCGACCCAGTACTTATTCACATTTGGGGCGCTTGCCTGGGGAACCGCCTCCGCTTGAGGCCGTGGCCAGCTCAGGGGGGATCTCTCGGCGGGCCAAGATCTGGGGCCCCCTCCAGAGAACAGGCCCGTCTCCCCACCCGGTGGTTCCCAGGCCCCGGGAGCCCCCCGCCAGCGGCCGGGGAGATGCCCGCGTTTCCAGAGGTCAGAGGGGCAGAGAGGCTGCTCCCTGGACGCCCCCCGCGGAAGGGAGCCAACAGTCCGTGTTCGCCTAACAGTGCGGAGCCAAGTCTGCGACATGGGGAAGGCAAAGCGCCCTGCGTATCTACATCCGGCCGCAGGGTCGCGCTGGGCGCGGGGTGGAGGCCCGGGGCGAAGACAGGGCGGGGGTCCTCGGTTCCTCCAGTCGGACCGCGTTACAAGCTTGTCTTAGCAGCAAGAGTTTGTCCTTCTTTCTGTGGCACGAAGGCGGTGGACACTGGACCAGGATGGGGGTGAGGTCAGTCAGTCTGCCGAGGGCGGAAAAGCTGCTACCGGCGCCGCGGGGGCCGCCGCCTCCTCCCGGGGCCGTTCAGGTGAAGTAGCGGCAAGGCGTGGAGTCGATGAAGCAGTACGGGGTGCAGCGCAGGTCTCCGTACGACCTGGGGGAGGACACAGGGCAGTGGGCAGGAGCCCGGGACACAGCCACGTCCTGGGACTCCGGTGCAACCTCGGCAAACGGCTGCTCCCCGGCCAGCTGCCTAAGGGCCCGGGGCTCCAGGGAGGTGAGGGGCCGGGGCAGCCGGGTCCAGGCCTCTGGGGCTTTCTCCCTTGAGCACAGCCGAGGAGTCTGGGGGGACAGGCTCGGTGGGTAGCCTTGCCCTGGACGCAGCCCCTCGGAGACAACCGCCCTCTCCTCCAGCGCCGCCCTTAGACCACACGGTACTATTTCTGAGCTGTCTAGTGTGGCGGCCACTGGCCACAGATCTTGAAACAAAGTTTAGTGAGACGGAAGAATTGGATTCTTAACTTGATTTAAATAGCTTACCTGTGTAGCTGTTTAAATCCTACACCTACCAAGTTGCAGAGCATGGCCTACACCTACACAAGCCCCAGTGCTAATTCTGAGACTCTTGTCTTAACCTCACACCTATTTTCGCAAGCATGCCCCATGGCTTCTTTGGGATTAAGAGAGTAACCGCAGAGAGCCAGGGTAAGTCCTGGGCTCCAAGCACTCTGTGCCCCAGGTCTGATTACCCACGCTCAGGGGTCTCCACAGGCCATCAACCAGCTCAGACCCTCCACCAACTCTCTGGCCGGGCCAGGCAGGAGCCTCCCTGCTTCAGAGAAGGGCAGTGACCGCAGACGTGCAAGAAAAGGGCGACGCACACAGAGGCGGGCCAGGTCCTGGCCCAGCCTGCGGTGCTTGGAATAGGGGTGACGACAAGCCTGAGCTCTTCCCCCTGGTTGGATTTGTTGGTGTGCATTTGGGGGTGGGCACCAGGAGACCCTCCTCCTTAGAGGAGAGGGGCGGGCCTGGGGTCTGTCCCCCAGCCCTGCCCAGGGCCTGGGTCCCAGCCCACACAGGAGGGCGGCTGGAGGGAATAAGGGCTGGAGAGGCGGATCCCTGAGGGCCCAGCCGTCCACTCTGGGGTCACGGGAGAGGCAGGCCGGGGCCTGGGGGAGCAGCCGCCTCCCCAGCTCTCCCAGAAGCCCCGCAGCCCTGGTCCGGTGAGGTCTGGGGTGGGGGTCGCCATTCTGCTTGAACAGCTCAGGAGACTCCCCTCGCGGGACAGAGGCCTCCCCTGGGCGCGGGAGATGTCCTCGTGGAGGCCAGGACACCGGCATGCTTATCCTGAGCCACACGGACACCCACCGAGGGGGCCTCAGACTCAACTGCCGCGGTGCTGGCAGGAACGCTACGTTCCTGGGGTTCTCTTGGTGGAGCCTAGGTCAGCAAAGTGAGGTACTAATGCTGGCGGGGCCTCTGTGGTGCCCGAAGGCTGCCTGCCCACCCCCTGGGCCCCGCTACACGGGCGGGCCTGCTCCTTAGGAGACCAGGCCGGTCCCGGGAGAAGCGGGGGACAGAGCTGCTGAGCCCGAGCCACGGGGGGCTCAAAGGTGGTGCCCTGCGCCTGCCCAGGACCCAGGTGGGGCTGGGTCACACAGCTGCACTGACACAGACCCCCGACGTGAGCCGGGGCTGCGTGACGTGAGTTGGGCCTGCGTGACGTGAGTTGGGCCTGCGTGACGTGAGTTGCTGCGTGCGCGGTGAGCCGGGCCTGCATGACGTGAGTTGGGGCTGCATGACGTGAGCCGAGGCTGCGTGGGACGTGAGCCAGGGCTGCGTGCGTCGTGCGTCACCATTCCCCGGTGTCCACAAAGGCCCGGGCACACAGAGCTGCTCAGGAACGTATTTGTGAAGGAAAGCGGGGGCCCCGGAGCGGTCAAGCCCACGAGGCGGTCCTACCCGGGGAGATAGGTCTCGCAGGTCAGGTGGCCGAAGTCCGCGCCGTCGCAGTCCTCCACGCCCCGGTGCCGGTGGCCGTCTCCGCAGTAGGCCCGGCGGCAGCCTGCGGGAACACAGCCCTGAGGGGAAGGGAGGGGACGGCCCGGCAGGACCGCGTGACTGGACGGGCCCTCCTCTCTCACGCGGCCTTCCACAAGGGTCCAAACCCTAACCCCACGGAAGGTGGGCGCTGGGCCCGGTCCAGCCCACTGCGCGTCAGCCGAGAGCTCACCCCGGCCTCGGTGTCCTTGTCCCAGCCTGGGACCTGGACACTGTCCCCCCCATCGTGGGACCACTGCCGGTTCCTGCACGGCAAGGGTCGGGAGATCGGGGCCCTGGGCTCAGTGACGGCCTGGGGCGGGAGGCGCTCTGGTGTCTGCCGGGAGCCTCCAGGCGACCCTGTGTCCCCCTGGGAGCCAGACGGTCTTCCACCAGCTCTGTTCTCGCCCGAGGGGAGAGGCCGGGAGTATGAACCCCCGTCTTTACAGGGGGCTTGCTGGAAAAACTAAACTGCAATCGCTCAGTCGTGTCCGGCTCTTTGTGATCCGGTGAACTGTAGCCCACCAGGCTCCTCCGTCCGTGGGATTTCCCAGGCAAAAGTCCTGGAGTGGGTTGCCACTTCCTCCTCCAGGGGAATCTTCCCAGCCCAGGGATTGAACCCGGGTCTCCCACATTGCAGGCAGACACTTTACTGTCTGAGCCAATAGGGGCTTGGGACCCTTAGGCAGTCCTTCCTGCTATGTCACTTACACGAGGGGCCGGGGGCCTGCGGGCAGAGCCGGCCTCTCAGGAATAGGAGCCTGGAACCGTCAGGGGAAGAGCAGCTTCCCGGGAGAAGCTTCAGCCGCCGAGCTCCTGGCTGGTGAGGGACCCGTGCTGGGCACCCACGCGTCCCCAGCCCTGACCCGGAGCCCGGCTCCTCCCCGCAGGGCCTGAGAAGCCATGCAGGGAAGGGGCGTCTGGCCCCGACGGCACCCAGACCATCCTCGTGACGTCAGCTCTCGGGATCTCAAGGCTTCTGCCGTCCATACCCATCACACCTAGTGATGTGTCACGCCCTCGGTCACCCCACTCACCCCGTAGCCGCCCTTCTGAGACGGGGTGACTCAGTAGAGACCAGGTGACTCGGTGGCTCTGAGCACCGCCTCCAAATTCCACCTGACTCTGAAGCTCATGCTCCCCACCTCACCTCCTGCTTTCATCCCTTGACTTTTAAAAGAAGAGGGAAAAGGGACGCTCTGGTGCTAGGACGTCTGCCTGTCCCGTCTCGTACATGAGCCTGAGGGCCACTTGGCCGCCCCGTCCCCTAGCGCTCAGCTCCGAGGACTCTGTCTGCTGAGAGCGAGCCCGATTCAGAGCCTCGGCTTCTCCCATCGGCCTCTCAGTCCTCCTGCACCACCTTTCTCTTTCGATGAGGGTGTAGGTTTTGCCAAGAAGTAGGATTCAGGAGAAAAGGGAGGGCCCCGTGGCTTCTCCGGGGCCCGAACCCTTGACGGCAGCCCCATCACCATCCTTGGAAGGTGGGAGGGTTTACATCTGGCCTGAGCAAGGACGGTCATCCCCTCTAGCAGCCCAGTGCTGACTCTAGGAACTGTCCAAAAGCAGCGCGGCCTGACCCCTGCCCCGCGGTGGGGCTTGCTGGTTCCCCGGGGCCGGGCCCCACTCACGGATGCAGTCATCGCCGGCGTCTGTGTTCCCGTCGTCACACTCCTCCCCCAGCTGCAGGACCCCGTCCCCGCAGGAGCCGCGGTGGTCTCCAGGGTAGTCCCGGGGGTGGACGGGTGTCAGCTGGCCGGAGAAACACAGCGCAGTTACCAGGGATGGCGTGCCAGGCAGCCCAGGACGCCGGGGACAGAGGAGCCAGGTGGGCACAGGGCGGTGGAGACAGGATGCTTCTGTTCCGGGGCCAGAGCTCTGCGGTCGGCAGGGAGGCTGGACCCCGGGGAGCCCCATCTGGAGCCTGGACCCAGAGCGGAGGCTGCAGGCAGGGGCCCGGGGCCCAGAGAGCTCTCAGAGGCCGGGTGAGGGGGGCGCTTAACCCTCCACAGAAAGCTCTGCGCCCAGCCTCCCCTTCCTTTGCAGGTGCGTCCCTCTGCGGAGCGCCACCTTGGGTACCTGGACGGGGAGCCAGCCAAGGCTGTCCTTGAAGTACAGGGACCTCTGGTCTCTGCGGAAGGCGATGGCGTTCTGGGTGTTCAGCCTCTCCAGTTCCTCCTGGTTGTTGACCACAAAGATCTGCCGGAGAACACACTGGTGAGGGTCCCAGAAAACACTTGCCTGGGGAGCAGGGCTTAAAGAGCCAGAGGAGGAAACAGGCTCTGTCGGGGGGCTGGTGGTCAGTGAAGAGGGCTGGCATTTGTGCTCCCGCGTCCCTCCTGAAGTGAGGGCTAATGATTCCCACAGCCTCCCAACCCAATTTGGAATGTCTGAGTTTGGAATAAAAATATCTACCAAGGTTTAAGATTTTTAAACCTTTGAAGTATTACA